AGGGAGAGTTTTAGAGCAGAATTTGCATTTAAGAACAGGGTTTTGTAAATGCAATTGACACAAGAGAATTTGTGGAGTGAGTTTATGTTTAGCACGTCAGGGGAGTTAAACAAGGGGGGCTGAGTGTTGTTTGAAAGCAGATTTTGTTATTATTCTAATAACAGATTTTTGCTGGGTGATGATGGACTTGAGGTGGTTTGCAGTGGTTGAACCCCATGCACAGATACCATAATTAAGATAGGGATAGATTAGCGCATAATATAGTGATAGGAGAGCAGAGTTAGGTACATAATATCTGATTTTGGAGAGTTTTAGACTTTCTTAGTTATATGTTGTATGTGGGTGCTGAAGCTGAGTCTAGGATTATGCCAAGAAATATGCCAAGAAAATTGGCATATTCCTAGACAATAGACTCAATAGACCTAGACAATAGGCTAAGGTAAAGTAACAACTCATTGTACGTAAATAAGGACACTAGCACATAACATAATATTACATCAAGTGACTTCACTTGTGTTCTATTTAATTTTATACATAAACTTTATTATAAAACTGTATCAATTATATTAGTAGGTTTAACCACAATTTTAAGTGTTGGAAATAGTCGGCGAGAAGAAATGATTGGTTTAGCGGTGATAATGACACGTTGGATCTGACAATCTCAATGATGTTGTTGAAAGTTTTAGTACAGGGAAAATATATACACCGAGAGGTGTATATACCCTGCTTCTCGGTGTATATACACTTAAGAGTTTAGTCCTGAACAATGTATACTTGCTAGTTGGTCAGTACCAGTCAGTATACTCAGTTTTGAGTATAAGCAACGTATGGTGGTGCGTTAATAACCTTCTATAGGTTGATAGGCGTAAAGCCCAACACCAAACCACACCAGATTTAGTAGACAAACTGTGTTGACCACAAGTAATGATGTACAAGACGTCACTGAAAACAGGAAAAGTAGCGACACTTCAAACATTCAGAGAGAGAGACTAGAAGTGCTCGTCTCCTCACGCGATAATACCAGAATATCTGGAGAAATGAGATAAAAAAAATAAAACTTCACAGTATACCAGGGCATTACTGTTGGAATGTGAAATGTACAATGTGATTAATATTTGTGTACTGCATGGACTTGTGAGCCCCCTTGAGGGACCTTAAATTGACGAGGGAAGAAGTAGCCTAAGCTACTCTATCCTTTTGCGATGTATTTTATTACTTCAATAAACTTACTTGAACTTCAACGTGGAATTACAGAATGACAATCCTGCCTTACATATCTAACAATATAATTTTACCTCATACTGATATAGACTATATATGTATATACGTATAGACAGAACAGAGAAAGGTAAAGAGGCTCCGTAATTTTGAACTGTCAGAATTCTTTTGGCACGATGCCTCATAAGACTAGAAACACATGGAGAAACTTCCTACAATGCTGTAGTAAACCCACATAGTATTTATTTTATTTAGCTGCATGTGCGGCTACCTTATGCCTCATTTTTGTGGAGGAGTCTATTCCCTGTGGTCGTTCTTATCGATGTTTGCGCACGACTAAAAAAATTTATATGAAAAATGTCAGAAGATTAGCATAAGAAAAAATAGTGTTTACAGATCTACTACAAGACGAAAAATAACGACGTAGGAAAGAGAGCATGAAAAGATGTGATATGATCGATACGTACAAGATATCGAGAGGAATAGTGTGGATAGATAAAGCCTTTTCCACGTGAGGAAGGGGGGGGAGGGACAATAACGAGGGGGCGCTGGTGGACGTTGGAAAGAGATGAACCAGAGAAATGTAACGAAATACTTGTGTACAGCCTCACGACCTGAGCCAGAGACGGTGGAAGCCACCACTATCCGCAGTTTCAGGAGCGTATAAAAACAAGTTCTAGAAGGCTTGGTGGTTTGATTGCACTAGACACAATAATTCGGAGCTCCAGAGCTAGATCTCGCTCCTAGGAGTCCTAAGTATGAAGGAACCTAACCACAGGTACTAAGAAAAACGAGCAAGACGCGTTGGAACACAAGAAGGTATTCAGCACAAATTGTTGTTGTTCAGACGAGTGGATGTGGGGGCGGGGGATGGATGTATAGGTTCTGGAAGATGAATAAGGAATTTAAGAGAGAGAGAGAGGGGGGGGGGGGGAGGAGAGGATGTGATATAAGTAGAATGGAAAAGAGAAACACTCGAACAACACTTGGGAAGAAAGGGAGACTAGAAAACTCTATCCACCCTTTTTCCTTTCGTTTCCTCCCACCCCACCCATCCCCCTCTTCCATGGCGGGGGACCTCGTCAACGCGGCACCATATATAAGTGCTTGCGTGTGGCTCCCTGCTTGTAGTAAGGCACTACTCCTGGTAAGGTGTACACACCTTACACACACACATACACACACACACACACACACAGTTGGAGTAGCAGGCAGGAGCATCCTGGAAAGTTGTAGAGTGAATACAAGAGTACCTCAGCAATAGGAGACAGTGTGGAGAGACATTACCGTCGACGCTCCACACACACTCAGTGCTAGAGAATAATTCTTGATGCATGTACGTGTAAGTGAAGGAATAGGCTCCTTGCTAATTACGCAAAAAAAATGTGGCGAGTTACATACGGTGAAAGACTGCAAGAAACCCCACGATGACCTCGACAACTTGAAAGAATTGTCCAACAAGTGGCTAATTGAGTTTAACTCAAGCAAGTGAAATGTAATAAAGCTAGGTTTTGGAGACGAGAAGCCAGACAGAAAACATGACTTGGAGGTTGATAACACACTGAACCTCTCTCCTAAAGTTTACATCAACCGGATATCATCAGCAACATATGCACGGCTAACCAGCATTACACTCATCATTAGTAACCTGAACATAATTCAGGCCCTGTATATCACATGTCAGACCAATTCAGAAATACAATGAACCAGCCAAGAAACGCCATACTATAGTCCCAGAACTGAGAGCGATAAGCTACCCGCAAACACTGAAGGAATTAAACCTTAGGAGTGAAAGAGAAAAGAATTGGGGTAGACATTACCCCCATACACAAGGGAAGGGAAATTGGCAGCCTCGTCTCTTAACACCCGCGGCCTGGCCATCCATCTTGTGGACAACGATGAGTTTAATAGACTCAGCTGTTTCTCCACGAGACTACAGAACAATATTTACTGACAGTTATATTTTTGTTAAACACTTGGCCGCATGTTATGCGTTATACACGTTTCGGGGATAGCAACTTTCTATAATATAACTTACATGCTATATATTTCCATTTTCTCAGCATTCATTCCGTTTGCATCACTTGCCTCAGGTGACATCAGAAGCAGCCGGCGGGCGTAACTGAGGAATGTGTATGTGTGTGTGGGTGTTGTGGCTGATGGCGGGCGTGGGCGTAGCACAGGAGGCCTTCTACGACAACTACGCCTATACTAAGGTACACCAGTCATATCTCTCTCTCTCTCTTTCTCTCTCTCTCTCTCTCTCTCTCTCAAAATAAAATGTAAATAGAATCTGCAAGATTTTAAGGTAAGAATACAAGCTAGCAGCTATTATCCTTAAACAGGGTGCCATTAAGCTTAGTACTGGATACTGTTTATTTATTTATTTATTTATATATATACAAGAAGGTACATTGGGTTTGTGAGAATACATTGGATAGTACAGTATTTACATTCTTGTAAAGCCACTAGTACGCACAGCGTTTCGGGCAGGTCCTTAATCTAGCAGATAATTTTAAGTAGGTAATTTCAATCAGAATTGATAAATGATAAAGATACATTACAGGAGAAAAATGAGATGAGAGAGATAAGTAAGTATATTAAAGCACATTGTTATATTAAAGCTCTGATTGATTACATTGACAGCTTGATTAGTAATTTAAATAAGGTTAATAGACACCATACAGCAGATTGACAGCACATATAAGACAGCAATGATCACAATGGTAAAGATGTTCAGATTGGGTACATAAAGATTGGGAGACTGGGTAGCAAAAGATACAGATAAACAAGATTTATAAACACCATACAACAGATTGGCAGCACATATAAGAAAACAGCAATGATCACAATGGTAAAGATGTTCAAATTGGGAACATAAAGGTTGGGAGATTGGGTAGCAATTGATACAGTTGATATTGATAGCAATTGATACAATTGATATTGTTCTTATACATAGATCTCTACCTTACTTAATGCTAATTAAGTTACACTGAGAAGTGTGCAAGGTGGAGATAACTGTGGGCCAGTCTTCAAATGGTCAGTTGTCTGGAATATCTATTTATTGAGAAAACATGTTCCAAGCAGTGAATGACTGTTGTTAAGCTGTGGTTCACTGAGCGCCTTGTGCTGTAGTTCCCGCCTTCTGTTAAGACACTTTGCTTGTTCTTTCCTGATTATTACCCTATCTGTAGATGCTTCATCATATTTACTTTAAAATTGAAACACTTAAAACCTATCCAGAACTGATCTTACTCATTATACTTTTGAATATCCTATACTTCCTGAATTTACTACTATATACTCCTTTGAATATAGCCTTATATGTGGCAGATGTGTGAGACAGGTGTTGACTAACGAGGCTGGCACCTGAGACAGGTGTTGACTAACGAGGCTGGCACCTGAGACAGGTGTTACTAACGAGGCTGGCACCTGAGACAGGTGTTGACTAACGAGGCTGGCACCTGAGACAGGTGTTGACTAACGAGGCTGGCACCTGAGACAGGTGTTACTAACGAGGCTGGCACCTGAGACAGGTGTTGACTAACGAGGCTGGCACCTGAGACAGGTGTTGACTAACGAGGCTGGCACCTGAGACAGGTGTTGACTAACGAGGCTGGCACCTGAGACAGGTGTTGACTAACGAGGCTGGCACCTGAGACAGGTGTTGACTAACGAGGCTGGCACCTGAGACAGGTGTTGACTAACGAGGCTGGCACCTGAGACAGGTGTTGACTAACGAGGCTGGCACCTGAGACAGGTGTTGACTAACGAGGCTGGTGTGTAAACACAGGTGATGGCAGAGTGTCTGGGAGACAGAGTTTACCAAGAATACCTGCACAAGGTGTCCACTGCACGGAGGGAGTGTGGCGGGTTTCCTTCAGTTCCCACCACCCACGGCAGGGGCACGCCCACACCCCATGGCAGGGGCACGCCCACACCCCATGGCAGGGGCACGCCCACGCCCCATGGCAGGGGCACGCCCACGCCTCATGGCAGGGGCACGCCCACCTCACTCCTCACTCCTCTCAGCTTTGTCTCAACTTACGTAAGTACTGTAATTGGCAAACTGTGGTAAATATTGCTGTTTATTATTGTGTTATAAGGTCATAAATCCTAACTATATGATTATGTGTTGGAGATATTAACCTGGTATTATTAAATATAGACTGAAGTTTAAATGCATATAAATATTTATACAGTTGCAGTACGAGCATATTTTTAAATAGAGAGAATTTTTACAATAGTACATTTGAAGTAATTTAATGTTAAAAATATAACAAATATAATTGCCTAATTTTGGATGAAAATTCCATGGAAGATTTAACCTAACTCATTCTATTTTAACTTCGCATACCATAGCCTAGCGTACCGCAAATTAAGGCATGAAGCTGAAAATTAAGGTTTCAGTTTAGTTTATTTATTATGTATCCCATTCCCCTGTTGTGGGCGGTGGTGAAAAGGGTTACAGAGGCACATAATGGACTCAGGGACTGAACCCCACAATTCATTAAGCTATTGCAGGGTTCAGTCCCTGAGCCCATTATGTGCCTCTGTAACCCTTTCTACTACCGCCCACAAGATGGGTCATCAGTGTGGGTTTTATTCACCCGTTTCATTCTAGATTTAGAGATCATGAGCTCAGGGTCAGAGCTTCTGGCTGGGGCAACAACTGCAAATGTTCTTTTTTTTCCTTTCTCGCAGAAAGACCAGCGACAAGGTGGCATCCTTAGTCAACAACAAGGAGTACCTTTCCAGCAGCCTGGAATATATTCCCAGCAGCCTGGGATTCGTTCTCAGCAGCCTGGGATACGTTCTCAGCAGCCTGGTCTACATTCCCAACAGCACGGGATATATTCCCAGCAGCCTGGGGTTAATTCCCAGCAGCACGGGATACATCCTCAGGATCCTGGTGTATTTTCACAGCAGCCTGTGGATTTTTCTTCTCAAGCGGGGTTGTTCACTCAACAGCCCGTCACTTTTACCAAACGGCAAGAATTTTCCTTTCGGCAACCTGAAGTGTTTTCCCAACAGCCTGGAAGCTTTTCCCAACAGCCTGGAAGCTTTTCCCAACAGCCCGGAAGCTTTTCCCAGCAGCCTGGAAGCTTTTCCCAACAGCACAAATTATTTTCCGATACTCGTGGACTAGAGAACGTAGGTGCCCTTCTGGAAGTGCAGGAGAGCAGTCCTTTCTACCCCAGTAGCCAGGGACACCACCACTTTACCCACGCTCCCAGTTACCGCCAGGTGAGTTATCCCCGTTAATGGGCTACTTAAAAAGTTATGGGTTTCAAGCTACCCCATTAATGGGCTACTTAAAAAGTTATGGCTTTCAAGTTACCCCATTAATGGGCTACTTAAAAAGTTATGACTTTCAAGTTATCGCATTAATGGGCTATTTAAAATGTTATGGCTTTCAAATTACGCCATTAATGGGCTACTTAAAAAGTTATGGTTTTCAAGCTACCGCATTAATAGGCTACTTAAAAAGTTATGGCTTTTCAAGTTACTGCATTAATAGGCTACTAAAAAATTGTGGCCATTAAACCTTTTAATGGTGTAGTCTTGTGAGAGGTGGTGAATCTATTACTGATGAGATCGCCTAGTACTCACCTAGTTGAGTTTCGGCTGTTTGGTCCCATCTATCAACTGTCAATCAACAGATTAATGAGCCTATTGGGCTCTGTAATCCATACAGTATATACATTTAAAACTGTGTATGGAGTCTGCCGCCACCACATCACGAACTAGAGCATTCCATTTGTTAACTACTCTGACACTAAAAAAAAGATCCTTCTAATGTTATCTTGAGGTTATCTTGAGATGATTTCGGGGCTTAGCGTCCCCGCAGCCTGGTCCTCAACCACGCCTCCTTTTTGTTACACCCCCCCCCCCCCCCAGGAAGCAGCCTGTAACAGCTATCTAACTCCCAGGTACCTATTTACTGCTAGGTGAACAGGGATAATAGGGTGAAAGAAACTCTGCCCATTTGTTTCTGCCTCCACTAGGGATTGAACCCGGAACCCCAGGACTACGAATCCTAAGCGCTGTCCACTCAGCTGTCAGGCCCCTGTCTCTAAGGTTCATGTGGGTACTTATTTTGTACTTGTATTCCTTGTGTGTGTACTCTGTGTTAAATAAACTGCCTTTATTTACTAACTTAACAGTTCCTACCAAGTATTTATTCCAGTTACTTCCAATTATTCCAATTCTAATTAATAGACTACTTTAACAATTCCTCCGAGAATCTTGTGTGTGGTGATCATGTCTCCCCTAACTCTTCTGTCTTCCAGCGACGTGAAGTTTAGTTTCTGTAGTCTCTCCTTGTAGCTTATACCCATCAATTTGGGTACTAGTCTGGTGGCATACCTTTGAACCTTCCCCTATTTAGTCTTGTGCTTGTGGTTATGCCCTTCTGTACCATCTTTTATGGAGATCTTGTGGTCTTCAAACCTATAGTATGGCCTCTGTGAGACTTGTGACCCCCTGAGATCATGACCTTAGTGTGGCTGGTGACCCCTGACTGTCCTTATCTCCCTTGCTACAACAGAAGCGAGCGCTGGTGGTGGGAGAGCGAGATATCCATCGGGCCATGCTCAAGGTGGAGGCGCTATTCGGGAACTTCACTTGTGTCCTCCACAGACTTGGCATGGTGAGTTGTTGTGTAAGTCGACTAACAAATTGCCATGGTTAAATTGCTGTCACAAGTCATTTAACACATACAAGTTCTTAGTTACCATCTGCTATTTTCATTAATGTAATATCTGGGACAGGTGGACGAAGAGTTGGAGCTAGACTTAGAGGGTTTGGCCAGCAACACCCTCAGCCTGCCCATCCCAGTGCCCCTCAGGAGTGATCTGGTCTCAGCCATCCATTACTGCAGAGACATGACGGTGTGTGCACTCACAGCTCTTTCATTCTCTCCATTACCTTAAATGAGTAATTTCTATCTCATTATTTGTGTGTACAGTGGACCATTATATAACACACTACAGGGGAATATCTGGCGGTGCCCTTCCTGTCCCTATCGAGACCACTAGAGATGTGATGATGACCCACGAGTAAATTCAGTAAACATTTTTTGTCCACTTTGTCAACACTTCTAATGATCTTATATATTATAATCATGTCTCCCCAGACCTTCTCATTTACAGTGTGGTAAGGTCTAATTTTCTCAGCCTTTCCCCATAGCTCGGGGACTAATCTTGTAGCAAGCCTCTGGACTTTTCCTAGCTTTATTTATCCATGTTTAGGTGGGAATTCCAGTGGGGTTATATCTATATATCTATATTGTAGTACTGGTCTAACAGAAGTGGTGTACAAGTCCTGAAAGGTTCCTTATCCAGGAGCCTGAAGGCTACATGAATGTTTGCAGGCTTTGTATATAATGATGATGTGATCTTGTATGTGCCTCCAGTGATAGACTTGGAGGTTATGTCTGCTACCAGATCATATTTGTCAAATACAAACTCTCCACCATCAGTGCTTAAAACAAGAACATGCCAACAAAGCATTTATAAGATACAATAAACAGGATATTGCAAAATACAGTGTATCAAAGACTGGTTGAAACTACAGTAGTAGAATCTGACTAGAATGAAGTTCAACGGAGCACTATAAGATTCATTCTGGGCAACTCTGCTCATAGTCAGCATCAATGACAGTGATGACAGTGCCTTAAGCCACACTATCAGAGTTGTAGATAAAATAAAGATTAACAGGAAAGTAAGTATACAAGTGGGCATTGCTTCATTGCAAAAAACCTACATGATTTTAATCAATTTTGTTTTTAATTTAGTAATAAAGTATTCAAGAGCTTACATGCTAAAGATACCAGCATGCATCAGAAGAACTCTGTTGATAACATTACCATGCTACACGTTGAAATAGAAACGACCAATAGCGGAAAGTAGCCAGCAAGTTATCATTATAAAAGGTCAAACACTAGGAATAATCAGACGAACCTTTCATTAAAAGGATAAGACAGTGGTCATTCATTATGTAACGGTTCTACTGTTACATAAAATATGGTGACAATAAACACAGACACTAAAAGAATATATATATGTTTGGATGAAAGTAGTACACAGAAGTTTGCAGGTGACACTTGGCGAGCAATGGTGTCAGTGAGTTGAGTGCACTGAGAGTCGGTACAGTATCTCTCAAGTGTCTGTTCTAAACCACACTTGAAAGTGTGGATTCACACTTACAAATTCATTGTGCCTCTATTTAGGCTATTGTACTACAACACAAGAGGGTTCACCTACAATAACAACATTATCTTATTAGAAAATTTACTCCATGGTGATGAAAAATCATACTAAAACTAATCCATTCTTTCCCAGGAAAATCTACAGCCCACAGTAGTCCTTTTTAAATCCCAACTGGGTTGACCTCACTCAAATATTTAAGATATTCAACAGTAAGATAATGTTAATCAAAATAACTTTCTTAAGAGGTTCAATGTGATACACCCAAGGGTAAAACATTTTTAGCCTAACAAACAACAGTGCAGAATAGGCAACTAGATATTGTTTTTCTTCAAATGAGCAATAGAGTTAATGTTTTGAATATCATATCTGTCAAAACTTGGAAAGTGGTACTGTATAGCTTAAAACACATCTAGAATCACCTCAGGAAGAATGAGTTAAGACTTTACCAGCACCAACATCCTGCCCCCACCATGACCACTAGATACTGTTGTCAACAGAAAAATAGTTAAATAACTGATGTGCGACCAAAAAGCACTTACTCAGTGGGGCAACATACAAGAGTAGGATTCGTTTGACATTGAATCAACATTATCAGTGTTGATGATATTGATTTATCACTGAATAGGTGTTACTCTTGAATATTGTGCCCACTTGGTAGGCAGTGTGTGGTGGCCCAGATTAATCAGTACCCACCTAGAATCAAACTAGACTGGAATTTGCATTGTGTGCAAACACCATTTTGCAAAAAAATACAAACTATTTGCAATTATGTCTTTCATGGCATAAATCTTATCTCTGCTTCATAAGTCATTAGCAAAAAGTGCCAAGCCCCGAAGACTATTTAGCACCATCTCTGTTTTGTCTGCACCTCAAGTTTTCCCTCATCTCTCCAACCAACTGCCCCTACTTTAATTTGGTTGTCTAATTTTGTCTTCCCTCGTTGCCTCACTAGCTCCCCTTTGTTCTTCAGCTGTGTCTGCCGGTGGAGCAGCAGGGATCACTGGTGCCACAGAAGCTGAAGCGCCTCATAACCTTTGTCAAGTGTGAGAAGGAAGCACGTCTTTCTGCCTGTCTCAAGCATGACCTCAGGAAGAGTGTCAGCCAGGTCGACCTTGGCCTGTTGCCCACCAGTGGTGGCACCACTGACTACCTGGAAAAGCTCCTTGCTCTCCTAGTGATGGCTGAGTCAGCAAATCAACTGGAGCTCATCTGAGCTGGTCTTCCTGGACTGAAACTGGTCAAAACCAGTCTAATGGACTCTTTACAGTTTCGAAATAGTTCAGGTGGTTTATATAGCCTGAAATAAATCTAGACTGACCCTATGGGAGTCTATATATTATAGAACAAACTGGTCAAAATCAACAATATACAGTTCAGTCTAGGCAGTTCCTGTAAGGCCATATGAACTAAACATAAGTATGTAGTCTTCCTGAAGAACCCTGTGTATAGGCTCTCTTTATAGACAAAATCTGGAAAGGACTATAGGTCTATAAAATTAGACTGGCATTATATTCAAACTGGTCTAAATCTCTGAAACTGTGAGCTGGTCCTATAAGGCTGTGTATAGATGAAGGTGATATAGACTAGTAGTGTTGCTAAGGTGATAAAACTAAGTTTAATAAAAATCTTTATTTATAGGACTAAGCACAGTGATCAGAAATATCTTAGAATCTGTCAGTGCCATTACAGAAAATAGATGGGAAGTCCACCTGCTTGCCAGCAGCAGATTGGAAAAAATAGAGGAACTTGGTTAAATTATAGAAACATTTGTACATAACATTGTGAAAGCACAGCAAACAGAGTTTTGCTCATGATGCATCTTTCATACCCGAGTCATATAAAATATATATTTTTCCGACATCAATTGAGATAAACTTTTAGAAGATAACAAGTGGAAAAACATCAAAGCATCACAACCAACTGTCCACCTATGGATGGTATTGTACTTAATAATTGGGGGAGTGTCATTAATCACTCAATATTCTATATAGTGGAGAGAACAATGTTTGCCAAGTTACTCAGCAATATACCATAACTGATGATGATATTACATAATTGGACAGAGGCAAGTTATTCTCAACTTTGTTAAAGCATATTACACTGCACTTAACAGTTTAACAGGTAAATACACACAAAAATATTAGTACTATGAGAAAGAACAAAGTGATATGAAATAATAAAAAATACTCTTCGATTCCACAAAATCCTGCTTATGCAGAAATTTTCCATTTGTTTGTCTAAAAAGATCCACCATCTATTTTGTTCCCTGCACAGCTTAACATTACAATATTAAAATCTTCCCTTGTCAAGGAAAGGCTGATAATTCCCATCTTCAAATGCTAAATGGCTGCAGCAATGCCCAAAACACTTTTGAAGAAAACTAATTACACAACCTCGTAAGTTCCCATGTGGCAACAACATTAAGTAAAAGTCAGTGTGTTATCTAGGTAGACATGATGCATTAATAGATTTAGAGAACTTTACAATAAAGTTATACTATGGACCTTGGGTATTTCATAAACCTAAGTGCACATGTGACTAAGGAGTTGAACCATCCATGGAAGTAATCTTCACCAAGTCCAGTGTTATACAAGCATGCTTCCTTTGATATCAGTTACCATGGGAGCCCATCTACTCCTTTCTAGCAATTCTATTTATACCTAACTTGCAAAAATACTTCAATCATATATTAAGTAAATACATTAAATGATTTCCATTAAATGTAGTGGCTCAAGATTCATCATTTCATCAGTCTTGCTACTTCCATATTAAAACATTTAAACACTTTCAAATACTTTCTCTAACCATCTTTCCACACACTACCATTTACTTTCATCTCTTATCACAATTTGTATTTAGTATGAAATACCATACATATACCTCTCAACTTAATGAATCCACTCTTTTTCTCATTTCTATTTTGAATTCCTTCACTTATTTACTATACCAGTATACAATTCTAGTTGCAAATCCAACCTTCACAAAACCCACACCATTTTTTTTTTCATCAAACCTCGTCCTTCAACCAATTATATTTCATAGTCACATGACAACCCCGTAAATCTTGACATTGTTCTCTCTCTCTCTTTCTCTCTCCACTTAAATGTAACATGTAAGAATTCTGATATCAGCAAAGGGCCCCCAAAACATGAGCTCCCCAAATCTTACATTATTACTACTAGCATAAAAACCATTCCTCATCACAACATAAGAATAAAGAAAACTGGAAACCTGAGTTACCTGATGGCCACTAACCCTAGTGGCCTCAACGAGGACAGGAAGCCGGCAGCTTTGCTGAAGGTCCCCCCATTTGCCTTGCTGGCACACCAAGGCAAGGCAAGGCCTCATGTACCTATTGGCACATATGAGGCAACTCCTATTTATATCCACCCAATTCATATGCATTGTATGTCTAACATATGCTTGAAACAATCCATTGAGCCCACATCTGTTATACTGCCCAATAGTTTATTCCACAAATCAATAACCCTGCTTCCAAACAAATATATACCAGGCCTTTCCTAAATCAAAACTTCTCCAATTTAAATCCATTACTTCACATTCTGTTTTGTATTTGTGGATTTAAAATCTTATTTCTATCCCCCCCCCTTTTGTTATGCCCTTTCATCCATTTATATAATTCAGTCATGTCACTGAACTTCCACATGTTCTCTAGCTTTCTTGAGAATTCTAGTTATTTAACTGTTCCTCATATTAAAATACTTGAATATATATATTTTCCCTATTTTAACCAATTTATCATTAACTAATGTGCATTTTTATACATGCTAAATTTGCATAAAAAATTATAAATTATTACTACAACTTGTGCAAAATTGCCTGCATCAGATATAATTATTCTGTATTTTATTTCATTACTAATTTTTTTTATTTTGCCGAATCTGGAATATAGACATTCATTTAGCAAATAAAATTCTTATCTTTCTGATTATCATTGAGACTCCAGTCCATTAAAATACTTTAAGCTGGCTTTGACTAGATGTACACTTTTAATGAGTAATATATACATGAGCTTATGAGTGTGTGTGTGTGTGTGTACATGAGTGTACAAAGACACTGACTTTATGGTTGTCCGAGGCAACATTTGCATGACAAATGACTGGAATACAAGTTGTCCACTTAGTGACCTGGTTAATGTTTGTATTACTAATTAATTAACACTTTCGCGCTATCTGGACGCGCCGGCGCGTTCGGTTTCGTCTAACGTAAACGCATAGTGGACATAAAGTTATGTCTACTTTTAAAATATTTGTATAAAATTCAATTTTTATCCGATTTACTTTGGGTTTGTTTCAAACTGCGCGCTATGAGGCTCTCTTTCTCACCACTAGGCTGCATGGTACAATAAGTTCATGAAAGGTGTGGATAACTTCGATCAAATGGTATTTTGTCCCAAACGGGTTGCAGGTGGGTGACTTTAGCCGTTTATACTGGTAATTCTTCCCCCATATCATGTATTATATGCATATGTCTGTTTAGGGAATTTTATTCCGATCAATATACAACCAAAAATAACTGTGTGCAACAAGTATAATCTTGACAAACATAACAAAAGTAAAAATATTTCGTGTGTGTTTGACGCTCACTGATATGTTCCAGCGTTGTTTTATATTTGTCGCTATTCTAACTTACGCTTTGTTGATATTTTTTACCTATGGGCACATAGAACATTCTATTGCGAACACATTGACATAAAAATGAATGACGTACATAGAAAATTAATGTCATGAGAGTGAAATAAGTATAAACTTTCAAAGCGCCGTGCGTCGTCCCGTCACCGATACCGGGTAACAATTTCACCACTTCCCACACTCTTGCGGGCGGGCTGCATCATTATTCTACGCTTATATTCATATCACCGTGTTGGGAATTTCATTGCGAGTCCATTGATACCAAAATTAACGCTGTAGAACAAGTGTGGAGGTGATTACAATCCCAAGAGTAAAAACATTTTGTTGCTGATGGGCGCTCACGGCGAGTCATCTACGTAGTTATTTATTTGGTGCTGGTATCCCTATATGTTTCGTGACTTATTTTACTAATGTTCTTCTAGAGAATTTTATTGCGAACACGTTGGTACCAAAATGAAATACGTAGCATGAGAACTAAGGTCAGAAGAGTAAAAAGAGTATACACATTTTTGTTTTTACGCTTAAGCGATAAAAACGCAGCGCGCACATTCGGTTGGCTGAGTGACCTTTGCGGAGAGCGCGAAAGTGTTAAGTGATATGGATATATATATATTATGAAATACCTCATACTGAAGAATTTATAGATCACATACTTTAATTATTAATACAGTATAACTGTGATTGTAGCCCCAGAACCTAGAAAACTTTCCTCACCTGTGCAGAGGTGCCAGCTTGGTCTTCTCCAGATGATGAAGTAACACCATCATCCAGTTGTAAGTCTGCACTGGAACCCTCCAGCTCCAGCTCGTTGTACAGTGAGGATAGTTGGTCATCCACCCAAGCAGGCTGTCAAAGCACGTACTTTTAAATATATACATATCTGCACACTACATGTAGTAATCTTGGAGCTTCAGTCAAATTCTCATCCAGAATTTTAATTTGTTTCTTGGTGAAAATTAAGTATTATTCCTAATTCTGTTACTTTCAGTACCTTATTCCTACATTATTAATAAAATATTATTTATTATTATTACACCTTCACACTTATGTTGGATTCTTCCTAAGATAACTTTTTCAAAGGAGTTTGCCATCTTCTTGACTCATTGTACAGTATATCTCAATATCAAGGCATCACTAATAATATCATGGCATCATTAGTAAAGGAGCTCATGTAGCTTAATATTCCCTAAGTAAAAGATATTCCAGGAATTAAAAATAAAAATCTACATGATGACAAATAATGTTATCAGTTAATCAAATTTATTTTTCACATAAATGAATTCTCTACAAAGAAATTAAGAGACAGATATATCCTATCTTGTACTGTGACTGTTTACACATGTAAAAGATAAATACAGTACACATATGACAAGATGGAATACTGACCAGTCTTAAAGCCTGTCTCTAACATAATTAGAAGGGAACCCGACTCATTCTCACCTGTCGTATTCTCTTGAGCATGTCCATATCTTGCCTGAGAACATCAACTAGTTCCTTGGTCTCCAGCTGGTACTTGTACAACAGCTCTGGTGTGACTTTCACATCCTCCAACCATGGCGGGTCATTCAACACTGGACGTTGGCACTTGGATCGTGGTATGTTCCATTTCATTCCAGATGATGAGGCCTTAAGTACAAGCAGAAAGAGATAAATTTAATTCAGTGAATAATAATCTTTATTTACCATACCTATTAATGTCAATTAGACTTGTCTCTTTCCAAAATCTCTCTCCTAGTACTGGAGTCACTAATAATATTTTCCCTAATAGCTACACCGTAACACTTACCAAGTATTAATTGAAACAGATGTTGTAGTGAGACAAGGTGGTGTTAAGTCCCTGTGGCTGTTAAATATATATAGTCATATACATGGTATTCAGACACTGCTTTCTTGGATCAACCATCTCCTCAATTTGCGATAGTCCTGGATCAAGATGTCCGGTTCATTGTTCTGGCCTGCACATCCATGTTCATTCAGTATTTAGCCACAAAAGGCTGAGTGTTTACACGTAGCACCATAGGGTGCTGAAGCAGAAGCGCTTCTTTTGGTGTAATTTTGGCAGCTCCACGCTATCCTTGGACTCATTAAGAAAACAAGACATCCCTCCAATATGTCGGGTAACAATACACTACTGTAATATTATGTGTTGCCAAAATAAGAACAAGTGATTCTTATAAGAAGTGGAAGCATGTAGTGTTGGTTATAGAATGGAAAAAACATATTTATTCCAGCTAATATTGTAAATGCCAACAAGCCTGCCCATCACTCAACACTGTGATTGATCAGCCATTATACGTACAATATTTTCACTGCATCAACCTATTCCCCCTATTTTAGTTCTAAGACTAAAACAGAAAAAACACAGAATATTAAAGCACAATCTATAATAATGCTAAAGCAACAAAGTGTGAGCATTGCACAGTGATGGAAGGTGATTAACCATTGCTTGTGTTTTTCAAAGATTAAAATGCCACAAGTTTTCAACCATCTGGCTTGTAAATTATTTAATGATTTGAAACTATAATTTGTTTTTTCCCATATATTTTCTTTAATATAATGAAATAACTAGACTGGGTTTGCTAAATGCAGTATGTGTAGGCAATATACTCTAAGTATTATGCATAAGGACCATGGCACCAATACTCATCTATTCAGTGCAAGTAAGAGAATATCAGCACTAAATTTATCCCATCCAAGCTACTCTATAATAAGTAAAGGAAACATTGTATATTAAGAAGCACAGTACAGTATTATAAACACAATATAGTAATCCTCTACAATTAAAATAATATTCTGCACCATCAACTTATATTTTGGCGAGTACAGAACCAATTGTTCTATTTTTTTACATACTGAAGCACCTAGACCAAACTGATTTCGCAAAAAAAAATTCTCGCTTGATCATGATCCCAAGGAGTCCAGACACCATATATATGACTGTACAGACGGTAGCCAAACTTAACAGAATAATGTAAGTGGGAGTTTCCATGGAAAAGCATAGTTGGAGTTAGACTGACAAGGTTCCTTCTGCCAATTTTTGTCCTGATGAAAAGTATTGATGGCATAAAACAAAATTCACAGACAATGGTAAATAATGTCTAAATAGCACTCAATCAAAATAAGTTAATATTTAATATAGTATGAATAGGGTGATGGTTTTCTAAAGATAAAATTTTAGTAGTAGATTTTGCTCAACCCTTCAGAGTAAACAGACAAAACATGATGATGTGATTTAATGCCATGTTTCCCCCTGGAATCTTCTACAGTACAGTATCTGGAAATGTGAAATAAAGCTCTCAGCCTATAATCCTAGTTCAGCTCCTTTACTTCACGGACTATATCTGTGGCAACACTAGACTTTCTCAAGCATTATCATGTGCTCAACTGTTGCTGAATTCTCCAATATTGATATAGATAAGATTCCTGAGGGCTATTCATTCAAGCCTTAACCTTCTATGCACTTCATAAGTTGAATATGATTATGTAATATTCACCATAAAACAGTTTTCTATATCTGAACAAAGAGGTTCCCCTTCAATTGGTACAACTTCAATGACCTCCTTTCCTCATCATCTCATGTACAAAGGTTTACCTCCAGCAGCCATTTGTCAGACATTCCTGCAGTGTGTCCCTGCACTTTGTTTAATCCTCTTAAGTTTGTCCATGCACATTGTATAATCCTCTTCAGTTTTTAATTTTCAGACTGCCCTCAACTTCACTCATTCGGTATTCAAAGGATTCTCTTTCAGCAGAATGTTTCCATATACATTATTACAAATAATATAGTTCAAACTGTCATCAGGAGGCCAGGATCCAAAGGAAAACAAAATAAATTTGATGTGTAAATCCTTGAAATAGAACCCAAAATTTAAGAAAACTAAAATTTTAATTTGAGAGAACAACCACCACAGATATAATCAGTGAACGATAATCAGTGTCATAACCACAGCCACACATACAGAACCAAGGATGCAACCACAGCAATACCCAAGGAACTAAAGTCACTACTATAAACAGCTTCAACCAGAACAATTACCAAAAGTACAACCAGATCTACAACCAGGGAAATGTAAGCAAAGCTTCAATACCCTGAAGTAACATTACGGTCATTCGCATATTTCCCTTGTACCTTATATATTGTACTGGTAAATTAATTAGGCTGTAGTTACTAAATACAACCAGGGAGCTACAAATACAACAATTATTAAACCATGACCTCAAAACACAAGGCCGAACATATTTGAATAAAATCCCACTACCCACTACAGTATTTTAGAAATAGTATTCTGTTTATTTGTCCTTAAACAGTGTGTACTAGGTAACATATGCAGCAAGACATATGCCCATTGGTAAACTAATAGTGAAATATCACACTCGTGAACATTCTGACATCATATAAAATTTCACAAAACCGCCAAGCACTATCTACACCATCCAATTACAACTATACAGTAATTACAATTATTTAGGGTCTCAGTAGTACAGTTGGGTTCATTCTCGACTCACAATCAGGAATTCTAGATGTGAATCCCAGGCAGAACAGAAATGGTTGGGCATATTTTCTATCACCTAATGCATCTGTTCACCTAGCAGTAAACAGGTACCCAGAAGTTAGTCAGCTTGTTGTGGAGTTACATCCTGGGGAGGGTCAGTAATTTGAGCCTGGGGGACCCCTCAATATAAGCCTAACATGTGCTGTATGTATAAACTGGCTACCTGTCCCCCGACACAATGAATGAATGAATTAATTATTATGCACTGTAATTATGATCAAAATCAGTGATTTCAAGTTTGAAGTTAATTTGGAGAACCATTCTCAAGACATCATCTGAAAATGAAGCAACAGAAAAGAAATGTAGAGGAATATACAATAAAATTCACAAAATATTTACTATCCCCCACACTGTGGCACCCAATCAATGACAATAATATTAATATTATCACTAGTATTAATACATAACAATAATTGGTTACCTCACTATTATCAAAATTTTCCGACACATTTTGCATGCTATCATCAGTAGACTTGTATTCTCTGAGTGATGAGGATGAACTCGTTATAGACAGCACCATATCACTGAAAAGGGGGGAAAAGAAAAGAAAATTATCATACACCAAAACATTATGCCTTGCTTAATATAGTAAAAAAAATCAATAAAACACCAGCGTTGAATTTAATGAAATGCCATTTTCTGGGTGACCCCAGGAGGCTCTCTGAACCTATCCGAACTGATATGTGTCATGTTAGTTATGGGTCATTAGTCACTGGAGTCCTTATGCCTGCTGGGAACCATGAGCCAGAAAATGGCTCCCTCAGAGAGGCACAGGGAGCAATGGCCTACGAGCACTTTACATTTAAAGTGTGTCGTAACTGCCATCGACCCGGGAAGCACCCAGAAAGATAGGCGAAACAAAATAGACCACAAGCCAGTGAAAATTGCGATCTATGTCCGAAAAAGCAAAAAGACTCCCCACATGAAGAAGACAAACAAGCAACACGTCATCCAACTAGCACTCTCGCTCGTCAGTGTTACCCCCTCCCCTTGAAGGGGGGGGGGGGAGTAGCATTTCTTGTTTAGGACAGGATGGTATAAACAGAAGCTCCTGGGCCTGTACAGTTTTTAATTATTGTTCTGAAGGGCGAGTTTAATGGGCAGTTACACATCCTGAGAGTACAAGTCTTAGCAATATTGATCAAAACACTGAGTCAACCAGTCTTGTTTAATTATGTACCTGCTCAAATAGATTGCTGTACAAATAACTTGCTGCCTAGCCAGCTTTACTAAAATGACTGAATAATTTAAATGTCAGACTACCGTCCTTCCTGCCTGCTGCTTTCAGTGTTCGCATGAAAATCAAAGCAACAATAACTGCACAGTGGAGGGGAGGGAAGGGGATGACTGGAGGTCCCCATCACTGTGATGCCGCATTCCTACTAACATTATTCTTATATTTAATCATAATATTCATGTTGCTATTAATTTTTATATTTACGAAATCCTATACTTAACCTTTATACCTTTGGTGCAAAAATTGAAGGATGATTTTCCAGTAATAAATAAATAAATTTGAGTAACCCTTGGTATTCGTGTGCCCAATACGATACAATTTAGTGCACAGTTAGTATATTAAGTACTGTAATAGGTTTGTTCAGTAGTGTGGGTTGGAAGGGATGTCAGATATCTATTTATAATACTAGAATTTTAAAACTTATACCCTGGAAAGAAAGTTCAAAATTATATGGCTTAATTATAAAGCACTTGAGTAAAAAACAAATTTGTTGAAACCAAATATATATAATTATATGTATATATATATTATAACTATATAACCAAATACTGTACAATAGAGATCTTCCTTCCACCTCCACCACAAGCCATGAAGGTTTCAAGTCAATATTTTAAGGCTATAAACTTGCAAAGTCCACTCACAAGTGTGGAATCTTTTTGAACAAAAAGAAAACAAAAAATTTAAAGGATTTTTCATGGGAAAACAAAATATTAACAATAAAGTTACCTGGAATTTTCATGATGTTGCTCACGATCTTCAAGTGCCATCTTGTCTCGCTTCCCAGGTGAGCCGACGCTTTCAGCCTCTGCCTGGACACTAGTCGACTGTGAGAACTGCGATACCTGTGATGAGTCACAGTTCATCTCAGAATCCTGTGGGTTAGCAGACTTAACTTACACCAGTGCTAGGCACATTTCACCGGTTCCCACTCGATAGGGACAACCACACAATGGTACTAATCAATCAGTGAAAAAGACTAATATAGTATTTAAAAGAGAATAATGTATGATTACAAGATACAATCCAATGATTCAAGTGAATGAAATGCATGATTTTTCAAAACTAAAATAAAATAAAATGTACTAATCAAAAAACTATTTTCCATCAAATTTTGCATAGTTTTGTTTACTACATCACCTGTGCAAAAATTACAAAGTTTTATTCACATACATACATACCTACATACATACATGTCAAATATATATAAATATATATATATATATATATATATATATATATATATATATATATATATATATATATATATATATATATATATATATATATATATATATACATATACATATATATATATATATATATATATATATATATATATATATATATATATATATATATATATATATATATATATATATATATATATATATATATATATATATATATATATACATACATACTTTTATAGCATCATGTGAAACGTCGTCTGTCGAAACAAATTTCCCCATTTAAAATAATGGATACAGAATTAATCCGTTCCACCACCGAAAAACATCAATATGATGTTTGATTTTTTAAATAATGGAGTAGCCTACCTGACATACACTGAACAAACCTGTATGATTTTTTTTTTCAAATTTGCTTATTTTTTTTTTTTTTTTTTTTTTTTTTTTTTATAGAAAATTAAGCAGCCTACCTGACATACCCTGAATAAACCTTTTTGACATTTGTTCTTTTTTCAATTTTTTTTATATTATTTTCTAAAAAAAAATCAATGCTTTGCAACATTACAGCAGTCACCCCTTTACATCCCAGCATCATTAGCATCTTAAAAATAACAACATTTATTTGCATCGTCGGAGGTGTCCGAGAATTTGCGAGAACCAGCGGGAACGCTAGGAAGCAATCACACTTTCTCGCATACTCACACTGAGACTCATACACTTTAAACAAAGTTTTCATATGAGAAAGAGAGCACAAGTGTCTCTTTCAGAACTGAAGGAGATATTGTACTATATATAGTGATTAGTATAAATTTTCACAGTCAAAGATACTCTATATGTATATTATATAAAATTAAACACTAAGGCATAGGAATGTAAGAGATCTAGAGGGAGGGGTGGAGGATAAAACAGAATAAAAAGGGCAAAGGGGTGGGAAGAAAATGAGGAGAAGAGCATTGGCAGAGAAAGAAGAGATGGGGAAAAAAAAGAGGATGAGGGCACAGGAGGAAGAGGACAAAAGACAAAGAGGAGGAAGGGAAAAGACCAAGAAATAGCGAGAGGAGAAGGAGAAGATCAAAGGTATAGCCATAATCTATATCCCAAAGAAGATACCTACAGGTATTAAATTTTGCAGTCTTGCAGGGAAAAAACAGGTTCCTACCTTGGGCATGCAGCCAGGAGACAATATTGCTGTATCTTCCACAAAGGAGCGTAAACTTTCAGCAACGTGTGAATGTGAACTAATAATCTTGCCCGAGGCAGAGGCAGTGCTGCCACGCGCTGAGCCAGGTTCTGCTTTAACTGACGTAGCCTGGGAGTCTGGCCGGCGCAGGTGAGCAGCACATTGTTTGATATTAAAGTTCTGCTGGAAACAGTTAATTATTAATATGAAAATAAACCAAGTAAAGTTATAATTTTGCCAAACTATTAACAAGATTGAAAACAACACTAAGTAAATAATAAATCAAGCACTGTAACATTATGAAACAATATGCAACGAAACAAAAACTTACCTTAGCTGACTGTGAGTTGGGCTCCAGTTGCTCATGTTCACTGTCTACTCCCGAACGCTTCTCTCCATCAGAAAGTAGAACTGGAATTTGTCCTAGAGGTGGCTGAACCGTAGTGTGCTGGTAGACTACATTAGGTAGCATAAGAGGAGGAGCATTGAAGAGTGGTGGTGCAACAGTCTGGTACATCACCCCAGGAATGGCACTCATGTACTGAAGAGGCACAGTCATACCTGCTTGAGTAGAAATCATAATATGCAACATATGGGTTTGGCCTTGAATGATGGTAAACTGATGAAAATAGTGTATTAAAGTGAATTTGAGGGTATAAGTGGAAGCGTGTGAAGATGCTTCTCTCGGTAATGGAGAGAGTACGAGGATGCAGGAAGAGTATAGACAATACACAGGATGTGGTATTGGACAAGGCTGGGTGTAAGTAGTGTGTAAGAAGAGAGCAAATATGTGCATACAATGAATATGACAATTCACAAAGCACTTCAAATCTAATCTTATGAAGTGGTGGTTGCTGCTGCCATGGACGACTGCTGTAGTGTGCTAATGCCTGTTAATATGTGACAATATACAGTATATTGTATTTTTTAATGATGTAATTAAATGGCAAATGATACGATGAATGAACAATAGGTAATTTTATTATTTAAAACCTATAACCATTTTCACTTCCATTATTCACTTCTTCTCTGGGTTGCTACTTCCACACCCCATGAAAGTTGAGTGTATCTTGTCATATGCATATCAGTACAGTATTAAAGCATCATATGAAGCATTTTGCTTTCCCAGAAATAAAAATAAAGAAAAGACTGACAAAGTGAAAAATTGCACAAATTTTATATGATACTGCTGATCATTTAGCATGATATATCCAGGTCTAACAACTTTTGAGATTTATTTTTTTTGAGATATATACAAGAGTTGTTACATTCTTGTACAGCCACTAGTACGCGTAGCGTTTCGGGCAGGTCCCTGGAATACGATCCCCGTTGCGAAGAATCGTTGTTACAACCAAGTACACATTTTACTGTTGCGTTAAACAGAGGCTACAGTTAAGGATTTGCGCCCAGTAAATCCTCCCCGGCCAGGATACGAACCCATGACAAAGCGCTTGCGGAACGCCAGGCGAGTGTCTTACCACTACACCACGGAGACTGGTGCTTTGTAAGGAGACATTTCCCAGGCCAACTTGGAGTAGAGTCAACATGACAGGGACACACTGCACATACCACACAAAGTAATGTCTTTCCTACTTTGCCTGGCCATAAGAGTCAACTTGCATTTTATTACTAAGGAGTCTAAAGCATTATTATAATTACCAACAGAATTGTGCCCAAACCTGAATACCTGAGAGCAAATATCGACTCAGCCTATCACAGGAGTGACAGACAACAGCAACAAAAATTGAAAAATAACACGAACATGGTAACAGGCCATGATAAATTTGAGAATATGTGACAAACCAATACTGACAATTACAGACAAGTTTCAAAGATGAAATTAACAGTCCATGAAAGAAATGAAACAATAGAAAATTTAGCTAGTAATTCCTAATTTACTAATTCATACATACAGTTAATCCACTGATGGGCAGAAGCAGGAAGACCACCCAATTGCATGTAGTTGACATGGATTTCTTGAGAAGGGGCTGTGGGGTTAGGAGAGTTGACAATAATAATGAGGATATACAAATGCAGATACAGGAAAAGTAATGAATGGTTCGCAAAATGCAAAGGGTCTAATAATTGCTTGAGCATGTGTCACCAATAAGTTCATGAGAAATGAACAATACAATGTACTTAAGTGCATGAAAAGAGAATAGTCTCTTAAAGGTAAAGTCAATGTGTTAGTGTGAGATAACGAATGTGTGCATGAAGATATTCGAAACAAGCCAATCCTATTTAACCCTTTCATTTCTAAAGGTAATAGTGGTTGTCCCAAGCAAATGGGGCAGAGAAAGCAATGAGTGTATTCCATCTAGGTGCCTAGAAAAACAGTTTTATTTCGTGTAATGTTTGATCGGATCCTCAAACTTTCAAAACAGGCACTTGGACCTGGTAAAGACTGCTGTCTGTTAGTGTCAGAATTAAATGTCACCCTTAAAACTATATCACCAAAAATTAGCAATTATCTCTCCTTCAAACTGTCACCTATTCCATTTTTTATCAGAAATTTAAAGAAATCACAAAACAACATAAATCAATGACGGGAAACGCAATTAATTTTTGCTTGTATTTTATAATTAAATTAAACCAAATTCCTTGGAAAGTTTGCTCAACTGTTGTATTTATGATTATATTCTATACATTGGGAACATGTATAGCCTGATATAGTGCTACTATATCATGGTATACCTGGAAAGCTCACACCCATTTCTAATGAATGAAATAATACTGGAGAAACCTCATTCTCCCAAAATACAAAAATATTATTTAGTTAGGCCAATTTTAGGTTCTCTCCTTGCAGCATGCCAAGACATGCAGTACCCACCTTGAGGTTGTATAAAAGCTGGCTGTTGTGGAGGTATGACAAGGGAAGGCCCAGGTGCTTGAGAAATGTTTAAATTATCAACTGGAGGCAATGATGACATGCTGGATGCACTTGCAGGAAAGTAAAATCCAGGCACAATGCTTGGATATGATGGTGCTGTTATAGTACCTCCATGAGCAGTGCTTGCTCCTACAGCACCTACAGCTCCTCCAGCTGACCTGTGAGATGAGGAAATATGGCAAAGTTGTTTTTATGCTTGTCATTTGTTTGACTGCCTCAAAAATATAGCTTAGACAAACTATGTGGTGTCTCCAGCAAGCTTTTAAAAAAACATCTTTGGTCAAGAGCTCACCCAGAGGTCGGAATGTGAGTCTTATCTGCTGATATCCACACATCTGCAGAGGAAGGCTTGAGGGAAGAACTGGAAGCTGCTGCAGGAGGTGCAAGGAATGGTTGTTTGTGCACACTTGCTTCATTCTCCACAATGCCACCACATCTCTTCATGCCCACAGTCTTTTCAAAAAAGATAACACACAATTAACTTGATGAAATATCAAGTATGGTATAGTACATGCAAAGATTACAAAATACAGCATCTAAATATTTACATTTAATGTCATTCCAAAAATTTTGAAAATCAATCTTTATCTGTGAGTTTCAAAACAAGTGACCTTGCATAAAGGAGAGAAAACAAGAAAAAAGTGGCTTACACGTTCAATAGGCCTCTTTGTCGGCTTTTTCACTGTTTTCATTTTATATTTGTCCTTGAATGATTTGCCACCAGTTTGCTGTCGCTGCATGAAGATCTTCTGCATGTCAGCATTATGTCTAGAGAGCACTTCTTCTGTCAGCTGGATATGGCAGTAGGAACGTCCATCACTTGACGTTCTACCCATCTCTCTGCTGCCATTTCCTGTGCTTTCTGATTTTCTGATATTTATGAAAGGCAAATGTAGAAATAAGATAAGCTTAGGGTAATTTGGTCAAGCTATTAGCCATCAATATTAACTTATTGCTCTTCATGACCATGTAAAAAAAAAAAAAAAAATAAGAAATAAAAATGAAGTCTATAGCAGGTACCATTGACCAACCAAGAAACATTAGCATGAGAGAAACGAATGTCCTATCTACCACTTGTCTTGGCAAAAATGGATCCTAAAATATTTAAATAATGAAAATGACACTGGATAATATAGTATACAAAATTTAAGGCTTAAAGTAATGAAACACCAATTGCTGTGTAGAACCCTCAGTGGCTTCCTCTTAGCTAAAGGCACCAATTCATTAGAGCCGCTAATAACAATCAGATTGCTGACGACTCTCAAAGGCCTATACAAAAAAAAATCTGGTATTCTCACAGAGGTGAGGAAAGTATCACATATCAATCTACATCAAAGCAAACTGCTCAGAAAGTTAAAACATCACCTATACAATCCAAAATATTCATATAGACAATGAATGAAGCAAACTGGTAAGCATGTTAACTGAGAGAGTTGGTCACAGTAACAACCCTTGTGTGTCAACCTCCCACGATCAAGTTTGTGACCAGATGGCAAGTCAGGTCACACAGGATTACCTACCAGCTGCACCTTGACTCAAGTAAAGGCCTGATGCCACAGCTTATGCAGAAGAACTAGCACACTAGAACGGCAGGTTTGAGAGTTCAGACTCAGCTGGCAGGTGACCCTCTGTAACCTGACCTGCCACTTGGTGATCATGTATGGTTGAAACAAGGATTGTTACCATGACCAACTCTCAGTTAACATGCTTTCAAATTGCTTCATTTGTCTATGTGAATATTGGACTGTGTAAGTAATGTTTTAACTTTGAGAAAGTGACTTAAATGTTGATCTATGATCCTTACACTTCATTTGCCTCCGAGAATACCAAAATTCTAGTCCAGCATTCAGTAGACCTCCGAAAGCCCTCAAGAGGACTGACCGTTGTTAACGACTCTAATGAAATGGTGCATTTAGCAGAGGAGCCAGTGTGGGATCCAGCACAATCGTGCACAATGTAACCCAAGACACTGTCATTCAACGTTTCCGCAGACTACCGACTATCGCAAGATTAGCATAAAACAAAGTAACTATATATAACCAAAGTAACTTATATAACCACATGTAATTACATTGGTTACCTCATTACCTATCTACAGCTGAAAGCTTTAATATATTAATGTTTCCTTAACAAAAATTTTGACTTTGTAGTTTGAAATATGCACTACTGCATCTTGATAACTGTGCTGTTTGTTGGTAGATACTGTATACAAATTGATTTCTAAAGTGTAAACATCATTAAGTGGTGGTGATAGTGGTAAAAAGTGGAGGTGATAGTGGTGAATGGTGATGATGGTGATAATAGTGAATGGTTGTGGCAATTGTGGTGAATGGTGGTGGTGATTGTGGTGAATGGTAGTGTTAATAATGGTGAGTGGTCATGGTGATAATGGTGAATGATGGTAGTGGAAAACAAGTAGTAACTCTGACAACTTTTGTAACCATTACAATTATTATCAACAAGATCACCACCACAATCATCACACAATGATAGTATTAGTGACAATATGTGGCAAATGAGAGGTAAATAAATATTTGTTTGTAAATCATGAAAGACAATGTAGTCTAGAAACATACTAAACTGCTCATGATTGACACTATCCTCAAGACAAAATAATCCTACATGAACTCAGAGGGAAAAAACCATCTCTCTCACGTTACTGCCTCCATGGCTAATCAAGGTCAGCTCGTCACTACGCTGTACTGTATATAACTCATAAATTCACACAATGTGAGCTAGAAAAACAGCACAGGTACAGTACAAGTAACAAGATCACTATAAAGGCTTATCCTTCTTCTTTACCTGGTATGATCACAGTTATCGCCCGAACCCGAACCGGACTGGGACTGTGAGAGTGTCTGTGAGTGCGAAAGCGTCTTCAACTGCTTGTGGTTTCCTGAACCATCACACAAAGAAAAGGCAGGATGGTAGCTACTCTTGCCATCTTCAGAAAAAGATAGATTAACGCTGCCCTTGAAGGCAAACCCAAAACACTGCATGAATACGAATAATGCTAAAGCTCAATAAGAATCCCTGGTCCATGTTTGACCATAGTTAGTTTGGATTTCCTCTTTATATCATTAGATATCAAACTTTTAACATGGAATAAATATCATTCTTCATCAACTCTTAAGCAAATATATACAGTATGGGAGATACATTCTAAACAACATAAGCAATGTCTAAGAAAAAAAAAAAGAGTGACCAGTGGAAGAAATGGGCCTTTACTGTAGGGCAGCTTGTGAGCACTACCGGCCTTAAGAGTCAAGTCAACAACAGTCAACTGCTCACATCACATTTATTTACTTATACGTTTCTACTTTAGCTTTCAATCATCTTATGTAAATAAATCAACTAAAGCCAACTCAAACAGTATAAACCGTGTAGGAAACATAATAGGTGCATTTCTTTCAAAGTAAATATTTTTTTCTCCAAGATACCCAGAGCCCAGATCAGTAGTCCTTGACTCACCTAAACTTCCTGAATGTGATACCTCCATTTTGCTGTCACCACTTTCATCGGAGGAAGCCGTCTTTGGGTGGCTTCGGAAGAATCTAGAAAGTGAAAATTTGCAATACAGTATAACATCTGCATAATATTTTCAAATTGCCATACAGTATAATTGAAAATTACATAAATTTGTATAGTGTATAGAGAAATACCAAGTTGAAAGCAGACATTAGTGAAATGACATTTTGCCTGTTAATGCTTCTGAAAACAAATAGCTTTGGCTATTTATTGTACTGTATAAGTAAAGCATATCATCTTCAATAAAGACAAATATCAACTTCGTGGTCCTCTGCATAGTTGTCAACACTTTGCACAATGCTCAACCTTATATAAATCTGCTTTCAAATGTAATGATGAAAATACAGATATAAATGTACAGTACTATACTTAGGTTCCCTGTAGAAAAACACTACATTGGCTGAGTAGCCTTATGGAAAATCTCTGAACACTATAAATGCCAATTACATGTACAGTACTATAATTCTGAAGTAGGATGCTTAAATATTTTGAAAAGAATTTCTCTAACCCAATTTGGCTACCATATAAGCAAAGGATTTACCACTTACAATATCAACAATGAGTATGGGCAGTAAATGGGTACCTGGGAGTTAAACAGCTGCTACAGGCTGCTTCCTAGGGGGTGTGTGTGTAACAAAAAGGAGGCCTGATCGAGGATCGGGCCGCGGGGCCGCTAAACCCCGAAATCATCTCAAGATAACCTCAAGAAGAAGATGGGACTGCTCCACGGGTAGCAGTCCCCATGACATAGTGGTAAAGCACTTGCCCGACGCTTCATGAGCACTTTGACCTGGGTTCATATCCTGGCCAGTCAGGATTGACCGAGTGCCAATCCTTAACTATTCACCAAGTTAAGGATTGGTGAACTTGACTGTTCCTTGGCCTTCGTTCACCAAGCTGTGAATGGGTACCTGGTTATTAAATGATCTGGCGGGTCGTATTCCGGGGAAAAATTTGGATTAAGGACCTGCCTGAAATGCAATGTGTGCTGGTGGCTTACAAGAATGTAAGAGCTCTTGTATATATAAATAAAAAAAATAAAAAAATAAAAAAATGAGTGGAGCGAATGAAGAATACGGTATATATAAGTGATGGAAGAAGAAACAGAAGGTTAAAATGCAGTAATTTATTTACGTATTTATTTATTTATTTATTTACAAGAAGGTACATTGGGTTGTAAGAGTACATAACAATGGTGTTTAAAAATGACATTCTTGCAAAGCCACTAACATGCATACCATTTTGTACAGGTTCTTAATCTAACTCCTTAATCAGTTAGCTCAATTATCAATTATTTGATCAAGTGACTATTTAGCTGAAGCCAGACACTGTAACCATGTCGGTTACTCATTGGCCAACAGGCATTCCAAGAGAAGAGCCACTCTGAAGAAAGCTGTCTGCAGGTGCTACAGTCATATAATAGAAGTCATAAAATAAGCAAACAGATTCATCTAGTTTAGCAACTGTAATTGTTAAACAATTATTATTTTATTGACTTGGTAAACCAAACAAATTATAATTTGCTTTCATTATTTTTGTCATCATTATTGCATTATTTTTTTAGCTTGGAAGGTGGGGATTCAGATTTGGCGTGAAGCTAGCAATGCAGCACCAAGCCAGTGAATGTAGGCATCACTCTGAGTTAGTAACAATGTTCATTATCACTTCCGTCAATGCAAAATGACTGTTGGCAAACAAACTGTCAGGAGAAGCACCAAATCCATTATGACTATATAGCACTAGGAAGGGATAAGGATTTGGGATGGGACGGGGCAAAGGAATGGTGCCCAACTACTTGAGCAGTTGGGGATTGAAAGCTGACCTGCATGAAGCGAGACCGTCGCTCTACTGTCCAGGTATGTTGGACGGTAGAGATACTGTTGGCAAGTATCTCTTAAAAACTAGGAGTGTGATACTGGATGGTGACTTCCAAACTCCAAGTAAGTCTGGTAGTACTTCTGGCTGTGGTACTTTTGAGCTCATCATGGTTCAGTCGGTAGTGCAAATGTCTGGGGAGTTCAGGCATGCACGTCTGATCCCATTGCATGGCTTCAGTATTTTCTCATTGATACATTACTTTCTTGTGACTTCATTGTAAATATATATTTATAAATGGCAAGTGATACGCGGGTAATATAATCAATTACTTTACCTGTACATTTCCAGTCTGGTGTTGGAAAACAATGAACTATGCAACTTTGATTCTTAAGCCAACAAATGACAAAAGCAGTCAGTTACATGTTGAGTGTATCATCCATAATCCAGAGTGAAGACTGTGATGATTCTTACCTATGAATGGTTTCTGAATAGTTGAGTTGTCCATAACTGGAAGGAGACTCAGATGAAGAATTGACACTCTCCTGACATTTCTGGACCTAAAAGAGTTGGGGTCACTATCAGCCTACACTACATGCTGAAAATTAGTCGGTCATTACAGAGGTAACAGAAAGGATTTGCACACTGATGGTTCAAATGCCATTTCTTGATGGTGACTGATGTTGAAAATTGAGACAACTAACTTTTAAGATGATTTTAGCACTAATCATATGCAGATAGTACTCTCACATTATGAATGTGACCTGCTGGCAATGTTCAAGATCCATGTGCAATTCCTTCACACCTATCATACTTTTACAATACCTCTGAAGGGTTTCAGCGTAGTTGAGCTTGCTGTAGCTGGATGGAGTGGAAGTAGAGGGGTTGGATTCATAACAACGATCATCTTGATGAGGGGAGATCTCCCCCATAACGACTGAGCCTTGATCCTGATTGGTGGGAAACTGTGGCCGCGTCAGATAACTCTACTATATTCCATTATGCATGCCCAATAGTCTGCCTTCCTCCAACACTGCCTTAATAGCAACTTGATAATATCGTGTTCGAGTTAAAACAAGCAAAAAAAATATTAGCTTTTCTTGCCACGTTACTTTGAAAGGTGATGCAACTGTAAATTTTGTCAGATACTTTATATTTGAACACCAAATAAAGATAAGTCTAATAATAGATGATAATTACCACCTCAAGACATTTATTCATTCTGACTACAACACTGTCCAATGCCACTATCATATCTACTACAATTATAAAACTTCCAGAACTAACAAAAACTAACATTATTTTTTTTAAATATTGTTAGTCTTTTTGTTAGTCTCTAAACAAAAAAAAATTATTTCTGGGCAACAATTTAAGATAACCTAAATCAAGTATTATACAAATTAGTAAGGTAATATGCCTATCTTAAAATAAATGAAATTAAACAAGTACAAAAACTGTAATTTAAAACCCCTGGTTCACACTGGTATTTGCCTAATATTAAAAATGCCAATCATAAACAAATTAACAAACAAGCTTATTACTGTTCACTGTATCACAGAATAAATTTATTTACAATTTGTTCTTAATAATATTATTAACTTTGCACAAAGAAATCACATTAATATGCTGTATCAATGAAAAAATCAAATGAAGCCACGAAGGGATTGGAACCTGCAACCTGGGTAAGTACACGCTTTGAACCCTTGAACCACAACACACTATAAGGCGTGTGCTTAGGAGCACCCAGGTTTCAGGTTCAAATCCCCTCATAGCTCCAGTTTATTTTCTCTTTTTTAAAATGATTACAACACACTTTAAATCAGTATTTCATTAACCATTTGCTCATTAAATTTGTGTAGTAAAAGTGTACAGGGAAACCCTGCTAAAACAAACCTCAGTGTAAAAAAATCATGAGAGTCAAACAGATCCGTGTTCAATAGATATTTATAAGTAAGACAAAGATATATTCATATTGGCAACATTTGTTCACCTGAGCCATACAAGTGGTTGCTTATGAAGCACGGAAGCTGGTAACATGTCCAGGTTACCAGCTCAACTTTATCAATAATAAAAACTTCAAAATGCAGTGCTATATGTCATCGTGCACAACTGAGGGTTCCGAGAGCAATCCCCGCAGTAGACCAGAAGCATTTGAGCATGTTTCCTTTCACCTGATACCTATACATAATGAAAGCAGTCTCTGTTAAAATTGTTAAGTGAAACTGCATCTCTCTGTGCGAGCACCGTTGGTCAGAAAGGGGGATTTATACTCCTATAATTGTGCTTGTGGTGGTGGGTGAAATGTCATTTGTGCCTAAATAATAACCTGTACATGCACTGCTTGTTGGGCTACTAGTACATGTACAGGTTATTATTAAATGAGACCGACCAACTGACTCCTGGGGAGAGGGAAAGTGGTATCAGGTTGACTGATGGATTGCAAGAATTCATGTATAAAATTAACTAATGGCATGGAGCAATTCATTGAATGGAGGTTCCGTGGTACAAATGATAAAACCTTGCTAACAGTATCCGAGAGAAATTAGATTTAATTACATTAACATTCTAATATTCTCACTCTCCATGAATTTGCCTCAAAAGTTGAATTAAAAATGTATTACTGCATTACTGAAGGAAATTATTTTTGTAGCTGAAATGTGGACTAACTATTGCAGCTAGAACGTAACAGTTTCTTTAAGCTCTACTTTGCTTTGTTACTGTTCACTATTCACTGTATCACTGTTCACTATAGTCTAAGTATACTGAGGTAAGTATATGTAGACTTGTGCCTTGTGTAGGGCCTCGTGTAGGCACTTGTTCCCACGTGGGCTGGTGAGAGGTGATTTTTCGGACATCCGAAATATATATACAGTATATATATTTTTCTCAACTAAATATACTATAGTGAAATTTTCTAAAGATCATTCAACACTCAACAATGTGTCACCTAAGTCAAGGCTTTTTAAAAAAATAAAACCTTAACTCCTAAATCCTAGTTATTTACTATACAGTACTAAAGAATCATTAACACTAATCCCAAATTATCATATGATAATAAAATGCTAAATAAAATGATAAATTATGCATATACATCTTCCATGCATGGTCCTGAATGCATGATAGCTGATTCAAACAGCTAAGATTAAGGAAGAAACACAACTGATAGTAATACGCCGGCATGATACTCAATACTGCGTGTAAATAGAAATTTTAAACATACACATAGGAGATTGTTAGATAGTGAAGAGTTAATTAGAAGTAGGTGGATAATATACACATCTATTTCCATTCAAACTTTGGTGTGAAAAGAATGAGCAATATTTGTTAAACTTACTGTGCTTGGTTGATTAGGCATCACTACCACACTGAGAGGCTGCTGGCTGCTCAATTTCTGTGGTGCAGCATTTTTCTCGGCAGTATTATTCCCATTTTTTTCCATACTGTCTAATTCGTCTACAATGGAGCTCATCATGTGAGCCAGAGTTCTTCTCCGCATCTCCTGTGGTGCTTTGCTCGGGTCTTTGTATGTAGCAACTGGCTGTATGAAGAAAGACTGGAGCTATTATCTTCTAAAGTAAACAAAAAACTAAATACTAAAGTATAATAAATCTAATAATCTTTCTCAATATTCAGTGAATGAAGTCAATGCTGAGATAGAAAAGGGTACATATTAAACTTTACTTGTAAACCACAATTCAGGCAACAATTATTTACCAGAGAAAAGAAAACCAATAAAAGCTGAACTGTCTGCGATCTCCCTATCAATAGAGTTTATCAACACAGAAGAACACCAAATTCACTTATAACCTTAGATAAGCAGTGCTAAGTTTAAAAACTATTCCTAAGAAGTAATAATATAAAAATATTTTTTATTCATACAGTATATTACCTTTGCTAATAATTCAATTATTTCTTTTTGTGCTTTCTGTGCCTCCTTCATGACTTCTTCTGGTAGTGGAGACTGAATCTTATCTCCTGGATCTAAAAATATTGCAATATCACTGGGACCCTGCAGAAGAGTGGAACAGTTGACATTTTAATGTAAATAAAAATAATACAAACCTTTCTGCATTATACTAAATAACTTTTAAACACAAATGAGAAATTTGCAAGTCAAAAACCCATCACTTCTAAAAATCAATGACAAATTTTATATATATGTGGTGGTAATACAAGAGCAATTACTAAACATATAAGCAAGTGGTCAAATTTGCATCCAAGGATGATATCTACTTACTTTCAACACCCTGTGCTGACCAATAATGGAGTCAATTCTTTTTGTCCATGGATTAACAAAGCAAAGCCATTCCGTTTGAAGAGTAACGTAGCTTCCATTGAAGGCTCGAAACCTATATGGTTTACTTCTATGGGGCTTTCCCTGTTGTTTCACCACTGAAATATTATGATACATTATAGTAATATCACCAAAGAGATGCTGCATTTTCAGGGCAATGCTACAGTGTGATCATATACTGGAGAAATAAAGGGACATTAAGTAGATCTTCTGTAAGAAAAAGTTTGCTAGAAGTATGTTTATAGTATACATGGCACAGTACATTATGAAAGGTGAAAGTAGAGTACAGTATTATTATAATACAGTACTGTATAGTGAAATTGCCCTTGGTTGAGCAGGATCAAGTATTTGCTGGGTCAAAATGCAGTGCTAAAACACTTAAACTTGTACTACACAAATTTAAAGCATTGAATGGAATGAAATCATTTTCTGGTGGTACCACAAAGTCTAAACTCAACACATCAAGCCTCTGAGACCCAGCCATCACTTATTGAGATCTGGGACCATTATCTGACTCATTGACTGCTTGAAAGAAATTACGGTAGATGCCCCTAGGTTTTTAATGTTTTCACAAGTACACTGATCTCTTTCCCTTCCCATGGCTCATGTTAAGCTTAACCCTACTAATTTCTCTAGAATACTACCTACCAATTGGTTTACAACCATGTCCCCAATTACTGTTAGGTGAACAGAGACAAATAGTCAAAAACTGGTGCCCAGCCAATCCCCCTTTGCCAGGACTCAAACTTGGACAAAATCGTTAGCAAGGTATGGGGCGAGTGTGCTGTTACTACTCCACAGGGACTGTGTCTGTGCCTCATACTACAAAGATGTTAAAACAGCTTTAGCTTTACACAAATCAAGCAACTAGGCTTTACACAAAAAGTTATAAGCAAAACGTTTGTGTAATTTAACCCTGTTAATTCTTATTTTAATTTTATTTGAGAGTACTTTCATGGGAGAAAAAAAACAATCTTTTATCTAAAGGATTAATACTACTGTATCAAAAGATCATCAAATCTTTTTTGATGGTGATTTTTTGATGTTGCTGAATGAGCAACGGTTTCAAGATTAACAAGCCACAATGTAGGACTAAGGACAGAAGATGCTGTTTCATGGGTTATAAACCCATGAAACCGCCTACTCGCTGAAGCCGTAAATGCCAAAACTCTGTTAAACTTTAAAATCCAACTGGAAAAAGATAAAGGCAAATGGGGGGTTCCTTTAACAAGCCTCCAGATTACTGTCCTCGTTGAGGCCACTAGTGTTAGTGGTCTAACTAGTGTTCGACCATTAACTTAGGACCACTAACTAGTGTTAGTGCCCCTCAGGTAAATTCAGGTAAAATATTATTTATATTAAGGGTATGAGGTACTAAAGAAGATAAAATATTTAAACCCAAAAATACTTACTTTCTTCATAAACATACTTGAGAAGAGGCAAGTCTTGTGGATGATAGCAGTCAAAGACTGAATTGCCTGTCAGGTCTTGAGGCAGATGACCCAAATATGGAATGGCCTCAGGGTCATATTCAGAGAAGTTGCATGAAGCAGTGTGGCGAATGCTGAAGCAGCCCATTGCTGGCGTCTCCTCAGGTACTAGAATAATACAACAAATAATAAATTTTGCACAAAATAAAAACAGATTCACCCTAACGTAGCGATCCAAAGTTTCTTAAACCAATGCGGTGCAATCAGCCTTGCATCCCCTCCATTATAAGGGTGTGGGGAGGGGGGATTGCAGAAAAGGCTGGAGACCCATTTTCCCGTTGTAGGTAAAGACAAACTCAATTGATTTTTTAAAATCTACAACTTTTGACTATATTAAACTACTATTTTCTCCAGACTGATGTCTCCCCAACCCCCTGGGAAATTCAAAATGGAATAATGATAATGACAACCAAAGTTCTTAAAATCCTCAGACATACAATCTTGTCCCTCATCCCATCAAAATCTTTCACTGCACCAGATGTCGAGTGCAAGATAGTGTATACTATGACTTTTACAAGGTTCACGTAATGAAATGCCCAATATTTAAAAAAAAAAATCCTTAATTCTTAATTTACAAATACTGTTTTAATAATATCTGGAAAAATGTTATAAGAAATTTATCTGTGAAGGTTCATTAATCATTTAACAATCAACACTTCTTGCCTAACATTACTCATTTAGTTACAAATGTTAATAAAAGTATTACAGTTATACCAATTTTCTTTAAACTTGTGCAGGTTATAGTGCCTTGAGCATTGCCTGGGCCAACAAGTTCTCTCTCTGTCCTAGGCTTGGACTCACCGGTGTAAACACTTTCTACAGGGATAACTTCTGCCAGCAGAAGAGAGGAGTTGGGTCCATAAGTTGATGCAGTCTCATCTGTGCACGAAGCATCATGGAATTTCAATATCATCTTGCATGGCTTATAATGGGTGCGTTTGTTGCGTACTGCAAAACCTGAAGTCTTCAGACCATGATATACACGCATCCGACAGTAAAATGATGTACCATAATTATCTGAAAATAGATATAATCTTAATGATAGTAGAAACATTATAGTAATACAAAATTAGTACAACAAGAATATATAATATTTGCATGATATAATCAGTATAAAAGATAAATCATACTTTCTGAAAATACATTACAAGGTGTATAAAATTTACCATTGAGTGATTCAGATCTGAATGGCATATTTAATCCATGAATGATTTTGGATGATAAGTTAATTGAATCCTTAGGGTAGACAAAGTCAATGAATGACTGTCCAATGAGCATGTCTTTCGGGAAACCGAGGACATCAGTAATGGCCGGTGAAACCTGGAGTACTGTACCATCCTGAACACTGATGGCAACTGTAAAGCCACGCTGCAATAGAAAATGCCACTTTAGTTTAGAGAATATATATTATCCAATACCTTACTTTCCAATAACACTGAAATTTACACATTGTGTGTGGACCTATATTGATCTTGACAACTGTATATTCAGTATAGCACCAATAGATAAAAATGAAAACCAATACACTTACAGAACTTTTAAAGCTCTTTAGGAAGGCAGCCACATCATGGGTGTCCTGTGGTAGCTGCACAAGCTCTCGACTAGCAAAGGGAACACCTACAAAGAAAAGTGATTGCTTAATTTTGGGGGGAAAATATGCTAATAACAACAGCACAAAATTTATATAAAAATACAAAATTTTCAGACAAAATTATAAGAACTGCACATAAAGATAAGGGAAGAAATATAATGAAAAAAAGAGATGAAAATAGTCATCACTGCTATATAGAATGAGGTACTGCCCTGGACTGGGTAAGGAAATACTGTACATAAGACAGACAACAGAGGCTAAAGTTGAGTGCAAAAGTCAAAAGTAGGAGACAGTGTCAAGTGGAATCTTGCAGGATTCTGTCTCTGCCCTCGAACTGCTTCCAGTCTGTGTAAATGACCTACCTGAGGACAAGATTTTTAATAATATTTGTTGACCTGTGAGTAGACACCTTCTAAACTGATGACTAAATAAAACACATGTAAGTGTATGGTTACATTACACTTCATCATTACTCTATTTTCTTTTATGGTGTGGGGAGGATATTTGCTCGGAGAAATTATGTGAGTAATAGTAAAAGGAAGCTATGTATTCACTAATATATAACTTACATTCTTGTAAAGCCACTAGCACGCATAGCGTTTCGGGCAGGTCCTTAATCCTAATTTTCCCTGGAATACGACCCGCCAAATCGTTATTAACCAGGTACTGTACACATTCACTGCTGGGTGAACAGAGCTAGGCTACAGTTAAGGATTGGCACTTAGTCAATCCTCCCTGGCCAGGATACAAGCCTGGCAAAATCGCCCGTGAAGCGTCAGGTGAGTGTTTTACCACTCTGCCACGGGACTGCTAAATCTTATTCAATCAGAAATTAATTACTGAAACTTGAACATAGATATGATCAACTATCAAAACCAATACAAAACAAAATATACATTTACTTAGTATTTAAACATAACAACATAAACATTTTAATTAGGCAAAAGTACGTACATACATAGAAAACAAGCAGTGTGTTGGAATCATAAATAGGCAAATACATCATCAAAAGCCACTAATACACAGAGCATTTTGGGCATAATGTGGGGAAAAAAATAAAAATAAAAAACTTAAAAACTAATTGAGATAAAAACAATAATGAATTAAAGTAGAAAAATATAAATAAAATGACAATTATTACACGATGGATGAACAAAAATTTGTAATAGAGCAACAGATAGTAATAATAAGTTTGAACAGCCGGTAAAAATTAAAGTTACCTTGTTCTGCAGACCGTTCCTTTATCTTTCTAATATAATTAAGAGCTTGAGTATACACTAGAGTTGGTTGGTCAGCCCTTTCTTCCCCATCATTACTGTGGCAGTTAAATGTTGACGTGCTTTCTTCAATACCTGTTGCAACACCTGAAGCAAGAAATCATTGGATAATACAGTACTTTTCATGACAGATTTTCAGATGAGCAAGTACACATGTTTTATACTAAATTCAAGCTAAATTGGTCCATTTTTAGTCAGAAATTATGAACTTTAGATGAATTTGAAGCATTAAACTAGCTTATAATATTTTACATGGCTTACTTGTACTGGACACCCCACAATAACACATTTAGTCACAATTCAATCATTTCTGTACTTCAAATTCTCCTCGCAATTCCCTCATTATTGATCCATGTAACCCATGAGCGATAAGTTGATTACTGTTCAAGTGAACTGAGCCTCAGCTTGGTGAAAACTTACTGCTGGCTGTCTCACTAGTCAGTCTGGGATCATGCTCTCCTGTTCTTGTCTTCTCCCTCTCCTTATCATTTTCTTCTTTGGTACACTTCTCTGTCTTCTCCTTAAGCAGCAATTTATCAGGCTTCTCTTTTGACTTTTTCCTTCTGTGGTCTTTGTGCTTGACTTCTTTCAATCTGTTTTCACTGGCATGAATACAAATGTAAGTCAACAATATTTCCAGGAATAAGGACAAGAGAGACTATAAGCACTAACACATAATCACTAGATGGATTTAAGAAATAATCAACTTAATGTGGTTTCGAGCCTTTTAAATCTACAACTAAGGTTTACTTAACTTCTGCACCAAATAGATGTAACAAGTAATCACCAAAAGCCCCACAATTGAAATTTTTGCCTAGGTTACTTTCCTTTCTAGTCATTACAAAATTTCAAGCTTTCTATCTTGGAAAATTGTCTAATAGCCAGATCACCTTCAATTACACCTCAAAAATGTTTGTTGAGGGAGCCACAAAACACAAATTGTAAATTAATACATGTGAATTACACTTTAACAGATAAAGTAGTCATGAATGAGAACAAATGAGGAATACCAATTACAGAAGAGAAGCAAACACTCACCTAAAGTCAGCATTATCGCCAAAGCCACTACTGTGACTGGATCCACTATTGAGGCTCTTGCTCCCACTGTAACTGTAAGAAGACAGAAAAGAAAATTACTAGACAGAAGGTGTTCACTCATACCTACACTTCAAATACAGTACAGAATAATGAAAGATAAGGAATACATTAATTGACAAATGAACTTTAAACATTATTTATGTTTAAAATCCATTTTTTTAAATTATTTTAGAAACAAATAATGTTTGGTAGGCCACACTGCTGACTAGGTGATCTATTAGCATAGTTTTGACATCCTGTTTTGGCTCTCACTGATTTTGCTATAAACAAACTGTTAAAAGGCCTAATACAATCAGTGAGAATGTGTGCTCTATTTCCCGAGAACATGAGGCAAGGAAATATCAATAGGAGGGAGGATTAGAATAAAAATTATATACTAATTCACAACAGCAAAAGAAGTAAAGGCTATAGTTAATTTAATCTGCCCAAAATGCAATGTGTGTTAGTGACTTTGCAAGAATGTAAGAACACCAATGTTATGTACTCTCATAAACCCAATGTACCGTCTTGTATATAAATAAATAAATAAATAGAAAGTCTTAGCCTAGCTTTTACTTTGTATGTAGGTACAGAATCTGGAGGATGAACTGCAACATCCATATCAGAAAACAATATTATACTTCTTAATACAGGGATGTATGTACATATTAAGTCCCAGCCAGTTTGCCTTCAAGTCCCAAAGAGTACCAATGAAGTCATCATTAGTTTGCTCGATTTAATCTACACGGCTCTTGACAAAAATAAGCTCCAAATTAGTTTTTGATACTGTTAATCACAATAACCTACTTAAACTTCATAACTAAGGAATATGTACTCATCAATGAAATAACCTCTTCCACTCTACCATCTTCCACAGGAGTGCCACAAGGCAGTATATTAGGACCTACCTTATTTCTTATATACTGTTCATCAATGACTTGTCAAATGTCTCTTATCTTCATAAATCTATACTATTTGCTGATGATACTATCTACATCTTTTCAAACCCCCAACCCACACACTCTAAATAATATTGTAAATAACGAGTTAAGAAAGTCCACTCATGAATGTCAAGCAACAATCTTACACTAAACTTAGAAAGGACCTACAACATTTTATTTGGAAACAACTCATAGCACTAAATACTACTTCAGATACAAACTGCAAACATTGATAGTAAACATGAGAGAAAGTTCCTTGGCCTATACATAGATAAGATTGGTAAAGGTCAGCCTAAGTTAAGTACTGTACAGTACTTTAAACAAATATTAACCTTTATAGAGATTCTCCATGCAATTTTCATGTCAAGTGTAAATAAAATATTTGGTGTAATTCCCCTAGAGTTTTTAATCAAACAAGGGTATTAGCCGGCTACAAGGGGATAAAGGGAGTGATGGGGCAAAGAGTGGGGGAAGATGGGGAATGGATGAAAAGATAAAGTACTGTATATATAAAACATATATATATGAAAATGTCTGTCTATTCAAGGTTGGGGGCTAGACAGGATGAAGGGGGGGGGGGGAAAGAGGGGAGGGGTAGGAAGATGGGGTTGGGAGGGGTGAAGAGGGAAAAGAGGGGGAGGGGTAGGATGATCGGGTTGGGAGGGGAAGAAGTGGGGGGAAAAGAGGGGAGGGGTAGGAAGACAGGGGTTAAGAGGGGAGAACGGGGAAATAGGGGCAATAGGAGGGAAGGGGGGAGAGGGAAGATATGAAAGAAAGGGGAAAAGTGGGGGGAGGGGAAGGGAAGAGGAAGGAAGAGTGGAGAGAAAGAAGAAGGGTGGAATGGCAGACAGAGAGGAAAAGACAGCTATCCTGGGCATACCAGTACCAGTATGTACCAGCAGTACCAGGTACTGAGAGGTGCCCCTCCTAATACAGCATACAGTAGTTGAATAACAGCAGAATATACATGTCAATGTGCAAATATGATGTAGAAATAAAGTAGGTAGATGCACATTAGTGTCATCGTGAATCCTGTACCTTACCTACCTAACATAGGATAAATTACATAATATACTGTACCCTGCTATACATATTACAAGCTATGTGTGTCAGTTAGTACAAGGGAAAACCCCTAAGACAGCAGATATGGAATAAGGTCAAATACACTAATTAAGAAGCCAGACAAAGTTGATTGCAATGGTCTCTCATTTATACAGTTCAATATTCACAACTTAAAGAGCATTATTACCTTTTCTGAGATGGGCCTTGGGAACTGGACTCCAAGGAACCATATGCTGACTCTTGTTGTCCTGGATTCTTAGCATCATCAATTGACTGTTCCTCCATGGTTACCCCTGTTAAACAAAATGGTTAGTATTAGATTCACTCTCAAAATATTACTCTATTCAGCTTGGTCTATACAGAATGTCTGAAAACAACTTTGTAACAACTGGGGAAATTGTTTTATTGATTAACACCCACACTATCCCCTTACACACACACACGTATATTACAACCACCCTCCCACACACACACACACACACGTATATTACAACCACCCTCCCACACACACACACACACACGTATATTACAACCACCCTCCCACACACACACACACACACGTATATTACAACCACCCTCCCACACACACACACACGTATATTACAACCACCCTCCCACACACACAATCTAACCCCTTTCCCCCCCTCACACACACTAACTTCCCTTCCCTACACACACATACACATAAGGATAAACTGTTGAACATGGGTGGTACGTGAATAAGGGAACACAGGTGGAAACTGAGTACCCAAATGAACCACAGGGACGTTAGAAAGAACTTTTCAATGTCAGAGTAGTTAACACATGGAATTCATTAGGCAGTGATGTAGTGGAGGCTGACTCCATACATAGTTTCAAATGTAGATATGATAGAGCCCAATAGACTCAGGAACCTGTATACCAGACTGTTGAGAGGCGGGACCAAGGAGCCGAAGCTCAATCCCCCGCAGGAACAACTAGGTGACTACACTAATCCCTCACACATTAACCTCTCCCGTCTGCCCTCTCGAATAATACTTCATATTTTGACATAAATTCCCTAAGGCCAAAAACTGATTTACTAAAATCAAAGCGACGTGCAAAATTGATGTGATGTCCCGTTTTCTATGCGTGAGTCCTTGATTTCGAGGACCAACGTTCCCGCAGCTCGGTCTCTGACCCAGGCCTCCTGTCAACCAGGCTGTTGGATGCGGCTGCTCACAGCCTGGTTGATCAGATATCCTTTAAAGATGTTTATCAAGTTTTCTCTTGAACCCTGTGAGGGGTCGGCCAGTTATGCCCCTTATGTGTAGTGGAAGCATGTTGAACAGTCTCGGGCCTCTGATGTTGGTAGAGTTCTCTCTCAGAGTGCCTGTTGCACCTCTGCCCTTCAACGGGGGTATTCTGCACATCCTGCCATGTCTTCTGATCTCATGTGGTGTTATTTCTGTGTGCAGGTTTGGGACCAGCCCCTCTACTATTTTCCACGTGTAAATTATTATGTATCTCTCCCGCCTGCACTCAAGACTGTCTAGAGAATACAGATTAAATATTTTAGTCAGTCCCAATAATTTGGATGTTATATTGAGTGGATTTTTTTAGAAAAGGTCTTCCCAAATAATTACACACAAATCCTTTACATTGCTTTTTCGTTCAATAGCATTTGACTGCGTTTTATGCATGGTTTCAGTTTTCATATTTTGTTTTTTCCAATAGCGCAGAAGCTGGAACTTTATGATATACCATATTATTTGTTGTGGCCCATTGGAAGACCTGATTTACATCAGATTGGAGGTTTGCTGTATTCTCTTATGTTGTCTACTCTCCTATAAATAAACAAATAAATTTTTATTCAGGTAAGGTACATACATACAAGGTAAGATAAAAAAGAACTCGGTTAACTCTTCAAATTCGGTCAATATAGTACATCAGTTTCGTGATGTTCATTTTTTTCTAAGTTTGCCTTGAAGGGCGAGTATAATGGGCAGCGCCAGTGACCCTGTGAGAGAACGTGCGCTGTTGGAGGTCAAGCGGCAGAGGTCCGCCCGCAGCGTAGCAGACGACACGGCTTGGTGAGCTGCAGGATCATTGCATTGCTCAATCTAACACTACCACTGTATCTAGGTGGTAGTGTTGGAGGGAGTTATGCCAGTGGTGTTCCCGATACCACAAATATACCGAGATCGGTAATACAAGGTGAAGAGTGGCGACTGGAGAATGTTTTGAGCCGGGGCTACTGAGCCGGGGCAGACGCATTCAAAACAAAGATGGCGGACGGGACAGGATCGTCAGTGGACGCAAATTCCAAAGACTTCAACAAGAAAGAGGAAGGAGGTTATCCTGGCAGGTTAGTGATCATTGAGGATTTGCTAAAGATTTGTGAAGGAAATTGTATTAGTTTATTACACGAAAATGAAGGTCTTGAGTAAATTTAATACTTTAACAGGACGTACAGTAGTTTAATAATCCATTGTCGGGGGACAGGCAGCCAGTATACACACATACATGTTAGGCTCGACGTTATATTAAGTTCAAGTTGAAGTATGTTTATTGAGACAAGAAAGAAATACATCTCAAAGGGATAAAGTAGCTTAGGTTATTTCTACCCCCTCGACGTTATATCGACAGCCCCCTCAAGGTCGAATTACTGAGCCTCTACATGATGCAACCCCCACAAGCTAACTAACTCTTTGGTACTTATTTAATGCTAGGTAAACTGGGACATTAGGTGATCGGACACACGCCCAACTATTTCTGCCTCGCCTGGGATTCAAACCCCAGTGAATCAAATAGCCAGTGTGACTGATAAGGTAAGGGAATAGGAAGGACAAATCACAGAACTAGTGAAAGAATATGAGACATGGTAAATGAAGAAGAAGAATGACTTTAAAGAAGTTAATAGGAAAATAGACAAATCTGGAGTTGAACTTGGTGCAAATCTACTAGCCAACTAAACCAAAGAGTTAGGCAAGGATATGCCAAGAGAAGTCAGTAACACAATTAGAGGAGGTTACTAAAGGATTGGAAAAGTGTAAAGAGGAAACTAAAGAAACATATGTACAAATTGTGAAAGAGAGAAACAAGCAAATTAGTATGGTTAGAATTTAAAAACAACTGAGCAGCAAGAGATAGACATTAGGCAAGAAATTAGGAAAGAGCTGGTTATCAGAAGTAAATTAGTACAAAACACTGTTGATAGAATTAAGTCCATAATTTTTGGGGGGCGTTTGGAAAGGGAGATACTATCTAGGGTGGACTGAGCAGCAGAGAGGAAAAAAGTCATCGAGAAAATAGTAGGTTTAGGAGAAGGTGTCATAACAAAGGAAAATGTAAGTGATTTTAGGAGGATAGGCAAATATGGAAAAGATAAGAATCGCCATTTAATAGTGAGATTTGATGGAGTGGAGCAAATGACAAGATGAGGATCGGAGTCATGGTCATACAGACCACGAGAATGAGAAAACAATGCTTCATCATTGCTGCTAATTACCGGGAAAGAAAAATATATCAGGCAGTACCTTGCCCCCTTGGGTAAAAGTGACCATGCCTTTTTGAAAATAAAATACAGTTGAAAAACTTGATTTCAGGAGAGGACACTATCGGGGAACATAGCAAGTACTTGAATGAATTTGATTGGAAAGACTTGTTGTTAAGGAAGTAAATCAAACCAAACAGGCCAAACAGAAGGTACCAGCTGGGAGAAGAAATCCTCGAGGAGTCAGGACGAGAAAAAGATCTAGGGGTTCATATCACACCAGACTTGTCCCCTGAAGCCCACATCAAAAGGATAACATCAGCGGCGTATGCAAGGCTGGCGAACATAAGAACTGCCTTCAGAAACTTGTGTAAGGAATCATGCAGAACCTTGTATACCTTATATGTCAGACCAATACTGAATGTGCGGCTCCAGCATGTAGTCCACATCTAATCAAACACAAAACGAAGTTAGAAAAAGTTCAGAGGTATGCCACCAGGCTGGTCCCCGAGCTGAAATAAATGAGCTATGAGGAAAGATTAATGGAACTGAACCTCATGACACTGGAAGACAGAAGAGTAAGGGAAGACATGATCACTACAAAATTCTCAAGGGAATTGACAGGGTAGATAAAGGTAAACTGCTTAGCATGGGTGGTACGCGAACAAGAGGACACAGGTGGAAATTGAGTACCCAAATGAGCCACAGGGATGTTAAAAAGAACTTTTCCAGTGTTCTAGTAATTAACAGATTGAATGCATTAGTCAGTGATGTGGTGGAGACAGATTCCATAGTTGAAATGTAAATATGATAGAGTCCAGTAGGCTCAGGAATCTGTACACCAGTTGATTGACAGTTGAGAAGCGGGACCAAAAATCCAGAGCTCAACCAACGCAAGCACAACTAGGTGAATACAAACCTACACACACTCTCTCAAATCCACACAAACTCTCCTATCCTACGCACTTAACATTAAGTAACTCTAGACATTGTATATCATTTGCTTATTTTCGTCTTACATTTACAGTATAAATTCATATCTCATATAAACATTTCGTTCAATTGAACCATCAGAGCCTTGAATCTTAGACCACACAAGTAGCAACCTGCAGCTCTATCTACTGAGCCATCAGAACCCACAATAAGAAAGGATTCCAGAGACACCTATCTGCTGCCCAGCTGGACAGGTAAGGGCCTAAAGTTCCAGTTGGACAGCAGATAGGTGTCCCAGGAATCCTTCCTTATTATGGGTGCTGGTGACTCAGTAGGTAGAGCTGCAGACTGCTGCTTGTGTGGTCTGCGGCTCAAGGCAGACGAATTATTATTATTATTTACATTAACGTACTCTATAGTAAACAAGGTGAGATTTCATTTCTATTTTCACCGCAAACATTATCGTTGGACGTGTTTGGTCACGTCACAAAGTTCGGTTATCCTGTATCAGGAAAGTTTGGCGGTAAATAAAGGAAATATATACACTATTCACCCAGCGACTGTTAACATGTAACCTAAGTTAAAGGTGTTAAGTAATGCCTCGCTCCCTACATTATCCCTCTGTCGCTGTGGGCACCAGCAGGTCCGGGTTGTCGTGTCGTACGCCTCACAACCTCTCTCCTCCATTCATAATAATAATAATAACAATAATATTACAGGAACAATTGTGCATACAGACGCTACACAATATATATCATACATTATACAGAAATCTCAATAGAAATCACTTTATATCATACATGGCCACAAGTTTGGTTATATGCTGCATTTCGTAAACGAACCATCTAATGTAACACGTGATCTGATAAGCTAGTTACACGGTCATAATTTATAATGATATATATCATGTCATGATTTATCTCGAATATAACTTACCATGATTGTCAGACTCTGCCATATTCTATTGTAGAGCTTTACCTACTAATTCACAAAACACTGTTAATCTTTCATCTCTTATCACTGCACATTGGCTTATTATTTCCTTAATCACAAGCCGCTAATCCTTGTCATGTCAAGAGTCAAAAAGGATATAACAGGTGCAACCGCAAACCTTACTCGCTCCGAGTCAGAGCAACACTGAGGGATGCTCCGTATCCCAGCCGACTCCAGCTGGCAGTCTCGCCTTCGTACTCTAGTCTGCTCTTGTCGTGCCGCCCACCCATAATCAAATCTTTGATCCATTCATAATTTAGGTTGGCCGGAGAGGCGTGGTTAGTAACTCTGTAACTCGCTCACCACACATGGAAATTGCTGTTTACTGACTGTTAATGTAAAGTTAATCTTGAACCAGTTGTGCTATACGGGACTATATTATATATAACTCGTATACCATTATGACATGATATATATCATTATAAATTATGACCGTGTAACTAGTTTATCAGATCGTAACTTGCCTAGGTAATTTAATTTAGGGTTCAGTTCCTGAGTCCATTATGTGCATGTAACCATCTCCACTATCCCCCACGGAATGGTATCGGGTTCATAATGAATGAACACAATAATCAATAATTTGATTGAGCAAACATTAAATAAGAGAATATATTTAAGTTTTATTGTAAAACAAAATGCAAAATTCCTCTCATACTGTAATGGAAAGCATATAAAAAAGTTAAAGGTAATTGTAAAATGGTTTCCACAGGCTGGAGCGAGTATAATGTTTAATAACATATTGGCAACATATATATTTATTTATTTATTTATTTATTTATATATATACGGGAAGGTACATTGGGATTGTTTGGATACATAGCTTAGTAATTACATTCTTGTAAAGCCACTAGTACGCGCAGCGTTTCGGGCAGGTCCTTAATCTAAGACAATTTTAAGTAGGTAAATACTTGCAAAATTTATAAAAATGATAAGTTACATAGCATGAAAAAAATAAAAGATGAGAGAAAAATTGTAGGTATATTAAAGCACATAGGTAGCTGCACATACTGACAACATATTGTCAAAAAAATGCGCAGCTAGTCCCCAAGCTATATAATTAGACTGACTTTTCTCAGGATGCAACCCACAACAGTCTACTTACTTACAGGAACCTATTTACTGTTGTTTTGAATAGATGTCAAACAGTTAGAATAGACATTTAACCTAGCGACGTCAAACCGATGCTAGAGCAACCAAAACTGTCCACTGTGCTGCCACTCCTATACATCGCTATACAACTGCTAGACTTAGACTTGACAGTATAAGCATCCCTGACAGTTTACACCCCTTGTAGATGTTAATATGACTACATATATAAAATCTGACATAAAACTATATACTCAGGCGGCTTGACTTGATCAATACATCCATGCTATGACATAAATCTCTGGTGCGCCCACACTTGGGTTATTGTATTCAATAATGAAGACCTCATCTTCAGACCTTGGACAAGCCGCCGGCTTCCTGTCCTCGTCGAGGCCACTACAGTGTTAATGGCCTTTTGGTGAATAATCGATCATCAATATACTATGTCGATATATGTGATTGAATATAATACAATAATTTAGAGAACTCTCCGTTAATTATGTTCACGAAACTGTAGTTAGTACATACACATCGTTATCTCATTAAAATAAATTGAGCAAACAAACCCATACAAATTTAACGTCGATAGATGATTACTAAACGCTACCGAACACGTCGGACATTATCGTACACAGCCATGTGTTATGTGCCTCAGCTCCCACACACATACATCAACGTTATCACTAAAAAACAATAACATTGTGCACTTATATGAGCTTCACACTTACATAAGAAAAGAATGTAACATATGTTGGTCAGTAGCTAATGACACTTATGTTGTCTGGAAAATGGTATGTATCGTGCGACACTGGCAACTAAAACTCACGATTCAGTACACGTGAGGCAAGGTGTGTGGCTCTTCCAGCGGCGGCGCTCACGCCCTACTCAATATTTATCTTAACTATATGTCATGTTCCAAGTTAATCAACTCTACTTCATTCTCTTGACAAAAAATGAACTCGTTATATTAGCCATACCGAATATTGATTCACAGAGGGGAAACATATGTATCGCTGGAGGCTGTGTTGTATGGGGTGGGGCAGGGAGGTGAGTGGAAGAGCTCCAGTGCCTGCCAGAGTGCCAGCCGGATGTACTGGCACTCGTCCTCTTCCAGGCACCTGCTTTCGGGTGCTTACATAAGTGTTAACTGGGAAGTGAGGTCTAGCTCTTTATTCACCCCTACTTCCATTGGTATACCTATTACATTAATACATTTAAATTAATACACACACACACACACACACACACACATATATATATATATATATATATATAGGTGAAAACATGGGGGGATACATAAGGGATAAATGTGAGGTGAAACATAGAGGCTGCAGAAGGCTTATTGGCCCATACGAGGCATCTCCTATCTAAACACAAAGATTAATCCAGTGTAATTGGCCTATTATGTTGGACATTGTCTTCTGTGTTGGCATCGATACGTTCTTGTCTTGTCCTTACTCTCATGGTGGGTAGAGTAAATAGTTCCGTGATTTGGGTGTTCATGGTAGGTCGCTCTATTCCTATGTGAATTGCCTCAAGAATTTGTAATCTTACAAATTCTAGGTCAAATTACTTACAATCTTACAAATATTATATATATATATATATATATATATATATATATATATATATAAAATCACTAAGAATTGGATTCGAACCCATGACACCCAGGATCATCCCCAAACTTACACGGTACTATGACCACCTCACCATTGATCATCTAGATCGAGCTTGAAGCAGCTCAGTCGACTGGACTATGAGTAGTCTTAATAAGGAAAGATTAGAGCTTCTGCCTCACGCTCGTGGGGCCGGCGGTTCGACTCTCTAAGTGCCCAGGTGAATGAAATGTTTATTTGCACGGTAGTGTGTTAATTCTTCTGGAAATATCGGATTACCCAATATTCTCTCAGATCATCGACAGCTGTATTGCATTTGCGCCAAGTTCCAGTACTCAAAATTCAGGAGATTGGAAAGGAATCACACACACACACACACACACACACACACACACACACACACACACACACACACACACACACACATGTACTGATGAAATACAGTTCATTCACGTGATCCTGGAGCAGGACGCTATGAAAGACGGCCTTACCACCACCTCAGTTATATTTGGCAACAGTTTTGGAAAGTGAAGGTAGTGTCTTTGTGGGAGTGGTAGACACCGCTCCACCCAGCACCACTCCTGGTGGGCTCAAAGTCTACACTTGGGCACGTGTGTGGTGCCCACATGTCTGCTCCATGTCTAGCTAGCCAGCTGACAACTTGGGTAACAGCCGTCTTAAGAGAGGCACACTTAATGCAACATAAGAAAAACAGAGATGGATTATGACTTTACGGGGCTATTCATGTTCATGGGTGGCTTAATCTTCATCAACCATCAGGATTATGATTGATAATTGACGAGGAGAAAAACTCCAAAAGAATTATCTCCATTTTATCTAGGGAAGGTTGAGGCAGGGTAATTGCCGGCAGTAACTACCGTAAATTCAGAGAACTTGGACAAATGTGGTAGATCATTACAAAGCCGGTAATTGCTGGCACTCATCGTAGTCATCCAATTATCTTAATCTTCCTGTTAGTGTGTCCCTCTTGTGCTAGGCTTTGATCCGCCCACGCTGACTCCTCGCTACCTCAAGCACACACCATTGACCAGTGAAGGAAAAGTTCTTTTTGTTCCAGGTAGCGAATCTTAAACAACAACAACAGTGAAGTATATTACTATCCTGTCGCCTTAAACATTTACTAGTGAAGGGCGCTAGCCTACTGACGCTTTAAATATGGCGCTTTAAAAGACAAATGAACGAGGCTACTCTAGGAGGCTACTCTACTGACCGGATGGAAATAGGGTCCACTAGCACCCATAGGATGGATATGGGGTCCGTTGTAGTCTTTACTGGGCCAGAAAGATATATATATAATAGTAAGTATTGCTTTCTGGCTCAGTTTTTTTATTTTATATATTTTTTTTCGTGAATCTCAGCGATTGCCTTCTTGTCCCTGACTTGTTTGCCGCGACCGTCTGCGAAGGCCGGCTTCTGGTCCCCCTAAATTATCTTTGGATCTTGACGGTCCTCCCGTCATCCCTTATTTCCATTGGTGGCGTCATTGGCCAGTCTTAACCTCCCTAATTCACAATAAACTTCAGTTTATTTTCAGTTATTGATTATTTAATCCCATTTTCAATAATTGCATATTTAATCCCATTTTCAATAATTGCATATTTAATCCCATTTTCAATAATTGCATATTTAATCCCATTTTCAATGATTGTATTCTTAATTCCCATTTTCGGCGATTAAACCCATTTTCAATAATTGCATAGTTATTCCCGTTTACTAAGACTATTTATTCCATTTTCAAAAATTGCTTATTTCTACCAAACAGTCGGTTAACAGATTGCAAATTAAACATAAGAATTAATGAAGGATTATTGGGTCATACAGTATCTCCTATTTATACCTAGCCATGTTAAGCGAATCATGGCCCGCTGCTAACAATGAAATAAACTGCTGAAGGTCTATACATAAGCAGCACGGAAATTGCAGAATATTCACAGACCTGTATTTACCCAAGTCTTTCATAAAATCTTGTCTTGTATATTATTTTAATATATTATATCCCTTGTATCCCCCCCCCCACCTTGTTATACCCATTCATCCACTGCAATCATGTCACCCATAAGGACGTTCTTAGACTAACCGTCCGGCAGTCTAATTGGTTAAATTGTCTACATGCTGTACCATGTCATCATACCCATATCAAGTTAGCCAAATCGTTTAGCAAACACATGTTTTCATCTTTTTAATACAAAATGCAAGGTTAGGAAATAATTTAGCATACACTCAATTACACATATATTCACAAGTGTATAACAGGCGCAGACACACACTCTCTCTCTCTCTCTTTACTCTCACACACACACCCATATGCGAATTAGCTGCTAAGACCAACTAATCTTATCCTAACAGACCCTAAATAACTAAATCTAACAAAATTGAACTTACCCAAAGGTAGAGTACCTCCACGGGAAACATCTCCCGTCACGCA